TCCGATCTGCGTCGCCACGTGGGCGATTTGGTGCTGCATCCCCTGGACCGCAAAAGCACAGACGCACGCAGATTTTGTACAGCCACTCACCCTTCCAAAGGCTTATACGGGCTTACTAATTATGATTTTCCCCCCCCCCCCAGCTGAATGACTACTTGGAGTCAACCAGTCCTCCCACAAGCATCTCTAGTTGGTCCAAAATGCTGCTGTGAGTAGGTGCAAGCCCACCCCCCCCCCATCCCCCCTGTCTATTTTTAAAACTTGTCTTTCACACACATTTTTATTCGACAATTTTTGACAGCTGCCTCCATGAGTTACAATGCTTTTCCTGATGACAGGACGACCTGTAAAGTGTACTAATAATTGTTAACACTTGGGTTATTTGGAAGAAAGTGTGTCTGAGATGTGATTAAGACAACTGGGAACTGTTGTAAATTGTGGGTGAAAATGCACAACATGTCTCCTTGAATATTTTGCTCAGGGGAAAAACAAGTATGCTAGGCGTTTGATTTACCTGGAAGTCAAAGATACGTTTTCCAAACTGCACTCTCTGTCTTGTGTAAGGAACTGTGTGGTCAAAGCAGCCTAGCGCAAGCCCCAGCATCTATAGGAAAATCGATGTTCAATGCAATTCTTTTTCAATGTGCGTGTGTGTGCGATTTTTTTTTTAACCTGCGCCGCAATTCCTATCCTGCCTTCATTCAGCATTCCGATAGCGTACTTGTACCCGTGACCAGCTTGGCCCAAGATGTTCTTCTCGGGCACCTGCACAACACACATTAGCAAAGCACACATTGCTGAATTACTACTTGGAGTCAACCAGTCCTCCCACAAGCGTCTCTAGTTGGTCCAAAATGCTGCTGTGAGTCGGTGCAAAAACAAGTATGCTAGGCGTTTGATTTACCTGGAAGTCAAAGATACGTTTTCCAAACTGCACTCTCTGTCTTGTGTAAGGAACTGTGTGGTCAAAGCAGCCTAGCGCAAGCCCCAGCATCTATAGGAAAATCGATGTTCAATGCAATTCTTTTTCAATGTGCGTGTGTGACTTTTTTTTTTTAACCTGCGCCGCAATTCCTATCCTGCCTTCATTCAGCATTCCGATAGCGTACTTGTACCCTTGACCAGCTTGGCCCAAGATGTTCTTCTCGGGCACCTGCACAACACACATTAGCAAAGCACACATTAGCAAAAGTCACGAAATTCATTCGCAACCCCCTCCCCGAGTTCGGACCTTGACGTTGTCAAAGTTGAGCGGGCAGGTGGAGGACGCGCGCAGTCCGAGCTTGTTTTCCTTCTTGCCGATGGCCAGGCCTTCCGTTTCCCGGTCGACAATGAAGCACGTGATGCCTCTGTAACCCTGTAGTTCGCAAATCACAAGAGGCGGTGAGCAGTCAAGGCCAGGAAGGACTTCTCGAACTGATCTTGACATGATCAGAAGCACCCACTTACATTTACAAATCAAATTTTCCCTTACATTGTGAAAGCGCTCCATCAATAACGATGTTTGGTACTGTATAGTATGAGGTCGCATTTGAAGGAAAAAAGCGCTACTCACAGCCGAGGGGTCAACGTTGGCCATCACCAGGAACACACCGGCATTCTCCGCATTGCTGATCCACATCTTGGATCCGTTGATGACGTAGTAATCCTTGTGTTTTTCCGCACGTGTCTTCAGCGCAAAGGCGTCACTGCCCGACTCGGCCTCGGACAGACAGAAGCTGCCAATCTGCGCGCGAGACGTAGCCTTGTAAACGGACCTCGGAATGTGCGGGCTTCAGACAGGGCGTTTTGTTATGAATGTCAAACCTCCCACCATGTCCGTGCACAGCCTGCTGAGGTACTGCTCCTTCTGAGCGGCCGTTCCCAGCTGCATCAAGAGCGTGTTGATCAGAGTATTCTGGATGTCGCACAGCACGGCCACAGAGGGGTCCACCTTCGCCAGCTCCTCGATGACCAGGATGGAGGAGAAGAACGTCGAGCCGGTACCGCCGTATTCCGCGTCAATCTCAATGCCCATAAGCTGCCCGTGAATGAGGTAATTAGCAAAAGAGCATTAGCCAACCGCACAATTCTTCACTTCAGGAACATTGTTGGGGCAAAGACAGCTCTTACCCCCTGTTCAAAGAGAGATTTGATCACTGCTTCATCCATAAAAGAGTGCTCATCCATCTTCGCCACAAGGGGAGCGATATGTTCTTGTGCATACCTTTTCACTGGGAAGGAAACAAAATCAGATCATCTTTTAACATTTGAATGAGCGGAAATCCCATGAATCCCTTCCAGCCACCACCACCAACAACAACAACAAAAAAAATCTAATATGTTTTTAAAGAAAAAAGTAGCACTCAAAAATATTGTACTTTACAAAAACGTACAGTAATGGTTGTAAAGAGTTCAACGGGCTTTGTTGCACTTTTGGACAAAGACCCCAGTTTGAGAACCACCGCTGTGAAGTACGGCTACAAAAATAATGTTCAACTGATGCATTACTCCAACTGTCCACAAGCAACAGCCACTCACCTGATTCCCTCATCATGCTCTCCTCCTCTGAATATGACTGCAAGGGAGGGAAATTCAACACCCCGGCCGCTTGGATGGAGTTCACATCTAGGGCAGACTTGGTGGACCTGCTCCTCCATCCTGGCTGGCATCCAACCCACGGCCGAGTGAGCTGTCTGCAAGACTATTAAAACAGAAAAAAAAGACACATTGGGAATGTAATCTTTTGTCGTTGTTGCAGTAGCTGTCTCTCTCTCTATCAATATATATCAATTGATATTAAGTGATAAGGAATGCGTGAATGGTTCCGAACGCAGCCTGTGATTCTGAATGCTAGCTGTTAGCAGCCACAGTGTTAATAACGTTAGCAACATGGCTATCGTAAGGTCGTGCACTTTCAACGAACAACATGATCATGACAACAAGATCGGACACATTTAACAGGCAATGACATGATGTCGCCGATCCCGGGTTTACCTTCGACAAAGCCCTCACGAACACGGCAGCCATGATTTGTTATACAATGTTTACATGGGTACTCCGGAGGGTGATGTTGCATCGAAGAGCATCGGATATTCCGCCACCGTAAGCGTCAATGATGACATGACAACCATTTTTGATCCGTATGGTGATTTTAAAATATTTTATTATCGACAATAAATACACGTGAACGTCGCGTTACCATTATAGCGGAGGTGGAATGGGAGATTTGGTGAACATTCTCTGGGAACAATAGACGGTCTTCCTGCTTCCTATTTTTAATGAATGCAACATTTCCACGACTGACTACAATGACGCGTCGGAAACCAAGCAGCAGCTGCTGAGCGTTCACCTGTCAACATTGTTATATTCGCGTCATTTGAAAACATTTTCGTTAACGTTACATTTTAGTAGATGCTCGAAAAAGTCTTAATGGAATACGCTGAAGTGGTAGGGGAGCTGCGAGGGCTCGGGATGGCGTGCTAACGTTAGCCGAGTTGCTACCATCCGCACCGGTTGAAAGTGCTGTTTTAAGCCCATCCTGGATTTGACACACCGAGTCTGGGTTCTTCTGGGGGATGCTCTTTGGGTCGCGGCGCTAAACGAGCACCATGGAAGAAATCAAGACGGAACCGGTGGATTTTGTCAGGGAATTTCAAGAATACCTGACACAGCAAACGCAGCACGTCAACATGATCTCGGGCTCCATTTGTGAGGAAAAGGACCCAGGTGAGGATGCATGCCGAGCAGTTTGAGCATCTATTCGGAATCCTTGATGTCGGGTTCCGCACTTTGCCCTCACTTGTACGGGAAGATAATTCGGCGCATTAATAGTATCCACACAGTCTTTTCCCCAAAAAGCCAACTGAGTATTTGATATTCAGCTCAAGATCCATAACCACCCTTTCGTCTCATTGGCAGGACATCCTAGTAGGAGTTACTGTTTGTTTGTGTTTTTTGTCACCAGTGGCACCAAGGAGTGAGCATAATGGTCTGGACGCCCCATCCGTGGAGGTAAGCCTGCCCTTGGAGGAAGGGTCCGACGTGCAAATGGACGGCCTGGAAAGGACATGTGACGGCAAATACAAGTGCAGCTTCTGCAGCTACGCCAACAAGGGCATGGCTCGGTTGATCGAGCACATCCGCATCCATACAGGTGTACTGTCTTTCTTTCGTGACAATACTCAAAGCACGTTGTGTGTTCATGTTCCCTTCCTCGTGTCCTGCAGGAGAAAAGCCGCACCGCTGCCAGCTGTGTCCCTTCGCCTCGGCGTACGAGCGCCACCTGGAGGCCCACATGCGCTCTCACACGGGCGAGAAGCCGTACAAGTGCGACCTTTGCGCTTTCCGCTGCAGCGACCGCAGCAACCTGTCGCACCACCGCCGGCGGCGCCACAAGCAGCTGCCCGCCCGCGTGGCGCGCCCGCCCTTCGCCGGCAAGCGAGGCCTGACCACCCTGCAGAAGCGCAGCGGGCCGCTTGGCTTTGGCAGGCGCCTGCTCCTCAATTTCGCGCCGTCGCCCAAGTCAGACTACGCCGACGACGTGCCTCACAAGCATCACCACCATTTGAACATGACCGAGCACAGGAACCCAACCAGGCTGCTGCAGAGTGACTTCGACCGAGGAGCCAACCCTTTCAACAGCCCGCTGGAGCAGTTGGCTTCGCTGCAGCCGGCCGACCTCCACGGCGAGCCCCCTCACGTAGCCCCAAGCGGCAACGAGAAGCCCATAGTGATACAGGAAGTCACGGGTGCGCGAGTCACCCCGTGTTCCAACGGCGTGCAGACGTCAACGGCCAAAAGCGAATACCCCGGGAGTTCCGCGCCCGGCCTCAGTTTGGACGCCCGCGACGAACCTTCGTGCGCAGGGGGCAGCCGGCCCGGCACGCCCCTCGCCGCCGACGCCCCGGAATGTGACAAGCCGCAGCGGTGCCCGCACTGCGACATCCATTTCCCCGACAACGTCCTGTACACGATCCACATGGGCTGCCACGTCTACGAGCACCCCTTCCGCTGCAACGTCTGCGGCCACACGTGCACCGACAAGTACGACTTTGCGTGCCATTTTGCTCAAGGGCAGCACAGGAAGTGACTCTGACGCTATTCGGAATCGGTCAGGAGCCACTATCCACTACTCACGAAAAACTTTGGTCCATTGTTAAATTTAGGCGTGAACAATTAAGCAAATTCAAATCTGCATCACAATGTAGTGGATTGAAAGTGCGAGGGGGGGGGGGGGCTATAATAAATATGGGGGGGGGACCTTAAAAATGTTTGTATTAAATCGCAATAATGGAATTGGATTATATGCGTATATATGATAATGGATGCCGATCACGATGCCTCATGCCATTTAAGATGCCAAAAACTGTCGGCAGTTAAGCACATAAACACACTGGTCATTATTTTGAGGAAGGTTGTTTGTACTTCTTTGAAGGAATGTAGTTTGGCAAAGGCTGCTGCAGATGAAATTAAACACAAATAAACAGTATTTTACGTACTTTTTTTTTAACATCTTGGCTGAATTAGCTTGACACACGAACAGTGCCTGTATTATTTTATTTTATTTTTTACATCATGTATATACTGTCAATTGTAAGATGACTTAGAAGTTCTTTTATTTTTACTGTCTACTTGTTTGATAACTGAAGCAGTATAAAGGTGACCTTAATTGAAACCACTGGTTGGAGGTGGATTTTTTTTTTTTTTTTTAACAGACTCACCGGCTAAAAGTTGGAATGGTGCTGGACTACTTTTAAGAGGATTTCTTGCTTTTCACAGTCAAAACGCATCACCGCCGTCTTCACCACATGATCCACGTCCATGTCGTCCTCTCCCCGACTAAAGTTCAGGTCTTGAACAAAGTGTCTGCGCAGATCTTGGAGGACTCGCGTTTTGGATTCGCTCAGATGAGCGGCTAAGGACCTCATGTGTCGAGAGGATAGGCCGGTTTCTGAAAAATGACAAATCGATCTGAAAAGCGCACAAGTGGAGATGCAAAACCGTGCATTAGCGCGACCAGGTGGATAGGATACGTTATCCTTCTTTTTGGATTTAAACAAACAAAAAAAAAAAAAGGCAGAAGTTGGAAGAATTTTAGCCAATGTGAAGATCTAAATTACTGTTTCAACATAAAATGTGAACACGTTCAAACTAAAACAATATAAATTAACCCCCCTGAGAAAAAGCTTGAACAATGTAGCGGACAACTGACCTCTGGCTTTCTTCATAGCCTCGGAGATGAGACGGCGACAGGCCTGGTCAGCCTGGTGAACCACGCTTGTGGCGCATCTATGGCGGTCTGCCTCCTGCAAGGTTGAAGTTCACTACTTCAGTGCTGGACTTTTAAAGTTTACTAATTAAAACGGGACTATTATGAATGAACGCAGAGAAATGGCAAGGACCAGGAGCTCACGGGGACTGAGCAGCTGCAAATTTTTTTTTTTAAACGTCGGTTTGAACAACAAACAATACAATGGGAATTTAGGTAATCCCACACAACCTATACAACACCGGTATTAGAAAAAGGGAAAGTAAGCGTCTCGTGCTCCGGCCACATACTTTTAGTCGATAAAGAAACACAGATCCTGCCGAGAACTCTAGTGGGACGCAAAATAATGCCGCTGGCATAGACAGATTTGTAGAAAAATAATTTGTGTTTTGGCGTAACAACTTGTCTTTATTTTTGTTGTGCTTTTGCACACCTAACAGTCACTCTTAGCAAAAATAGAGTAAGATGTAAATAAAAGTCATCCTTCACAATCTGTCTTTCAGAAACCTTTTGTTCTACGTCGTCCTCAAATGGGCTCAAAGGGTCGCTGAGTGCGCAGGAGATCAACTCCATCACCCTCTGACTGAAAGAAAAAAAAAAGACTGAAATGTCAAAAGACAGAGGACAAAAACAGCTCACGCGTTCATCTTACATGTCACACTCTGACAAATCATCTGCCGTGTCCACCGCGATGCTCTTTGCCTCCCACGGGTTTTTCGTTGGATTTGGAGACTCCAGACGTTTTGCCATCTCCTCAATCACCTCAGCGGGGACGGGACGAGGCCGGGTCTCATTCCGGCTGACGCACAGATCCAAGCGGCACTGCACATACACCTGGCAAAACCCCAGCGAATCTGCAACGGTGGCGTGTCGAGGGCATTTCAGACTACCACGGTATGACAAAGCTGTATTTCTTCAGTTGTCATTAGTCGGTCCAAAATATGCCTACACTTCCGAGCCAGCTGGAAGACCTCATATCTCATGCTTGGGTAGTAGAAGTTGTCATCCAGCAGAATCAAAAGCGGCGCTGCGTCGGCCCGGGCGGGGTCGAGAGGCGGTGTCAGTAGAGCGCGGGCGCAGCGTTCCCATGCGGGCCCGTCGATGCCGCTGTCGCCCGGACGCTCGATCGGCATTTCCTGTTTCTCCAGGAACTCGTCGAGGCAACGCAACACCGCATTTCGGTGGATCTTCCATTCTGTGCGCTGCAAAAAGTCAAATGGAAAATCAGGGCAAATACATTCAGCAGAAACTTTATTCGGACGGCTGCACGACAGTGTTGCAGAGTGTTGTTTTTTTTACAGCTGGTCATTGTTGAACAGATGTTTTTAACCCTACTTTTAATGTCATGCCCTCATATGTGGGAAGGGACAGCCAGTCGCCGGTTGACTTTTCAGCCGTTTATTGAACCCTAACGCTAAGTGTATACTGAACTGACACGGGAGCTGCTGTCAGCCTCAGCTTACACCCTAGACACTCACGCCAAGTAATCAGACATTCACTACCCATTCAAACGATTACAAAATGGCGCTCTCACGACATACAGTGCCCCATTCTAGGGCCTAAACACAAACGTATCGATTCGCGTGTTTCACTGCTCGTACCAGTGCATTCAAGTGACGTACACCGAGACAACAGGAAGAGAAGTCGTGAGCTGGAATTGTAAAAACACACGAGGCCATTTGAAAGCTTACCGCCTCTTGTGACGTCGCGTCGTCGTCTGCCTCTCTGGTTTGAAAAGCCTGGTCGGGGATCAGCCGGTCGTACTGCACCACGGCGGCTCTCCACCCGCGCCTTCTCGCGGCGAGACAGACGCTGCGGGACAGCGAGGACTTCCCGGCAGCGGGAAGACCGCAGAGGACGCACAGGCAGGCCCGAGCTCGGTCCGCGCGCTCGGGCTCGATTGCTGCTGCCATGCGACTGCGGCCAAATTTAAAGGCCGTTCAGAATGTTTATGTTTGCCCCGTGCGGCTTACTTCCGCATTCGCACTAGACCCGCCCACATCCGGTTGTATTTTATTTATTTTTATTTTGCTGCATACGTCACGTTTACACCGGGGGTGCAAAACTTCTTCTGCCAGAGTGAAGGTAAAATTACGCTCTTCGCTTATTAATTGATGATATAAAAATTTCAAGAAACTGCTACATCGCAATTTTCCATTCGTTGAATAAACAATGATTTTAGCGTACGTGTTAGAAACTTTTGACCCGATGTGCGCGCGTGGAAGCCTGCAAACATTTGGCCGAGGATGAATTGATTGACCTGCACAAGTCTACTTGAGAAAAGAATGTGAAAGTTGCTCTTCAATTGACTGCCGAGCCGAGATTATCATAAGGAAATATTTCGTGGGGGAGGGAAAAATGTGTATGAGTACATATAACATTTTATTTTAAAGCAATATCACCCACTCGCATATTCCCCTATCACTTAAGACTCAACTGTCAAGCACATATTACAATAGAAGTTTCCTTTAATTCACAAAAGCATTAAAATTGTTTGGTAAATATACAAATATATATACAGTATATCTGATTCAATTTGATGACATACATCCCAGTAATATTCCAAAACACATGATGCCATTTTCCATGTTAGAATGATCAATTTCAAGACTTCAAAGTGCATTTTTTTTAGTTTGTCCTCAGTTGTAAATAACATCTAACAATCGGCATACCCCCCGCCCCAATACCACCGCAAAAAACAAAACTCAATTTAGTTTGGTGGACGTGGGGCTGGAATCGCTTTGGGGACTCCAGGGCCCTGACTGGGAGCTTGGGGATGTGCAGAGGTAGTGTTTGGATCTCTGTTCCAATAATCAAGCTCTCCATACCTGAAACTGAAAGTATGTGGGTGGGGGTGGGGGGGGCGTTGTGTAAGAAAACCATAAGAAATGGGAATGAGTAATAAAACTGAGTCGTTACCCTGATATTGGAGCTGAAGCAGCCGGTGGATACGAAAGCTAAAATGACAGAAAACACATACTGCAATTCAGGGACTATATATGACATGAAAAAAAAAAAAAGAGAACACCCCTTTTCACGCATCAAACTACATCCTGAAACCTATTTGCAGACAGAATCCAGCTGTCAATCAAAACCGGTTTTACCTGCTGCTGAATACATATCCCATCAAATGCCCTGAGGCTATGACAATTGAGAAGAATAGTTACCCTCTGTGGGGGGGCTTCTGTTGGACTACGAGAGGTAGCATGTGTCTCAGTATTGCGGTCTGAGTGTCCGTTGGCGCTGCCGTGATGTGGCCTGGCAACGTTCAAATATGCGCACTTGCGTATTGCCTTCATACTGAGGGGATTTGAGTTTTTAACATCATACAGTAAGATTGCGTGTACCTGAAACGGCGAACGTGTCTGAGGCAGGGGTTGAGCGCATCTCTCCGGAAGAGGAACAGCAGCACCAGGATGAGAAGAACAAGCAGTGGAACGACGAGCAGGAAGAAGATCAACAGGCCGTCCCTGAGGGAGTAGTCTTGAGGCGCACGATGTATATTTGATGAGGGTCCGCAAAAAAAAAAAAAAAAAAAAAAAAGTCGACGTCGTTTCCAGAAAATTGTCATTATCGTCTTGTTTACGTTTCAAGTACACTAAATGCTGAATGTCAAAACGTAGAGTGCACCTATCTTGGGGGGTCCACTGTCAATGCTGCCGCCTATGCCTGCCCGGTTGCAGTTCGGTGGGCTCCATCCGTCGTCGCAGTGGCAGTGCCCTTGGTCGTTGCACACCTGGAGACGGCAAGCGACACGAGTCAGCCTTGACGCGGGCGTGGGAGATGGGCAGAAAGCGCCGCGCTCACCCCGTGGCCGTTGCACGTCCGAGCGTTGTCGCAGTCCAAGTTGGGCCGCAGGGCCGAGGCGTTCACACACTCGAAATCCAGACAGGTCTTCAAAAGACGAAGATGACAATGACACACGAGAACCCACATTAGAGACAGGCCATCTTCGCCAAAGTTGTTTGTGCAGTTCACTAAAAATAAGCTAGAACACAGCAAGTTTGCTCGCTTGGTCTATGTCAGGGGTATCCAAATTACAGCCCCGGGGGCCATTCGCAGCCTGCCATCCATTTTTCGGGGGCGCGCGAAACGAAAACGTTTGGGCGTCGCCGGTCTATGTGAAAATGTTTCCGCGGCGGTCCTTACTTTTCCTTCAGCGCACGGACTCCCAGGGTTGACATAGGCGGGATCCAGCACATCCGGCCCCAAGTTGAAGTCGGCGTTGACGCACGTGGACCCGTTGATGATCTGGATACTGACGTGCGCACCCGGAGGCGGGCGGTTGACGTCCACGTTGGTGCACTGCACCTTCCCGCACATGGCGTCCCTAAAATATGAACACTCACTTGAGCTTTCTAACCCCGCCCACACACACGGATTCATATTTCAAGTTTACAGCAGCAGATCACAACGATACTCACGCCAAAGGACATTTGATATAATCTCCAGTGCCGGTGATGCCGCAGTTCCCGAATAGGTTTCCCTGCATGTTTGCATGCAGAAAGCAAACATCTGCTGCCTTCGTTGCCGGATCTGACAACATGAGGGGAGAACAGTCGGAAATCTGAAAACTTTCTGCCCGACGTTGGCCCGTGCATTTGGGGCCCTCTTCATGCCGCCGCGAGCGCAAGGTCGCCGTAGAAACCAGTAAGACGACCCAAACGCGCAGCATCAAAGCGCACAAAGCGCGCTTACGGCTAAGGTACCTGATGGGCAACCCTGATTGGCCGCCGGTGAAAAACAGACCTGGTGCAAAGAGGGCTTGACACTGCGAGTCGTACGTCTGGCATCGGCCCTCGTAGCAGTACGCCGCCTTGTCCCGACAGGGCTGGCCGTCCATGATGTAGAAGTCGTCGGGGCAGAAGGCGCCGGTGCCGTTACAGAACTCGGGAAGGTCACACGCGTCGGCGGAGCCCCTGCAGGGCGTCCCGGCCACTCTGAGCTAGGAGCGGGACCGAGTGACAATCGCAGTTAAAAAACCCGGAGCTCGGCAAAAAGGCGGCGGGCGCTTTTGAAAAAAAAAAAAGGATCGCAACAACACTGTGCGCTTGTCACGCTAACACGCATCCAACGGGAATCGGACAACGTGCCCACCTGACAGTCACTGCAGCAGCTCCCCTGAGCACAAGCCGATCCGGAGGTGAGTTTGCAAGTGGCAGCGTCACAGCATTTATTCTGGCATTCCTGTGGAACACACACACACACACGGACGCACACACATTTTATTTTCAAATTCAGTCCAGTTTTAAAAAGCGGCGCATGGCTTCAAATGTTTGTCAAGTGTTGCTGGCGCGCATGGCTACCTCCGGCGTGCCGCAGTCGCACTCCTCGCTTTCTTCCAACAAGCCGTTGCCACACTTGGCGGTGCCGACCACGTCCGAGAGGGAGGGCTGGTTTATCAGACACACCCCTCTTCCGCTGACGATGAGGGCCTGGAAATCTTCGCCGCTACAGCGGCTGAAGCTTGTGGCGCCGCTGAAGCATCATCGCATGCGTAAATAAGACCGTTACGTGGCGAAATAGGCAAACTCTTTTTTTTTTGTTGTTGTTTTTACCTGGCAGTGGCCGCCATGATGCAACTTTTTCCATCACAGCTGCAGCGGTTGTCATCGTGACTCATGCCCAGGTTATGACCAATCTCGTGGGCCACAACGCTGGAGGTGTAGATCAGCTCGTCGTCGCCAAACTGGTGAATCGCAATCAACGATCAGATCATGGAGGCAAAGTTTTCCCCGAATATGTCCAATTGCATTCATTCCTTTGAAATGACGGGTGAAAAAAAGATCAGAAGCCAAGACTCGCAAGCCTGTATTTCAAATTTCACTCGTGTGTTGCCTTTCGGCTCATAAACTAAAAGACTTTTTTGGTCTTTTCTAATTTCGTATGAAAGCAAACAAAACGACCTTCGTCGGACCCATTCAAAGGCACCGCATGACGGGAGAATAGAAGGAATTTCACTCATCCGCCACGTCACCTCCGTCTCAGTCCAACTGGTTATCCTGCGTGCTCGTGTACAACACACAAGTGTGAGGCCTTCCCCAGAATAAGAGCGACAGTTTGCCGTGCCGACTGGCGTTTGGAGTGAAAGAGCCTTGGCAATCAACCGCAGAGATGTCTTAAAGGAGTTAAAATGACCCCAGTGAAGCCTTGAGAGTGAGCACAGTCAAACCAGCGAATAAAAGGATGCACTCGTTGTTTGGTGAAAGCGCGGTCCTGTGATGAGAGGGCCGCATCAAGAAATGTGAAGGGCCGAAAGAAAACGCGGCAATGTATGAAAAGTGACACCAAGCACCGTCTTCGGAGTCAAATCAACCTTGGTGATGCGTTTGGCGTCAAACTAACCACGGTGATTCCCCCGGAGGTGGCGGCCGAGCACGCCGTGCCAACGAAAGCCATCCCCAGCACACCTCCCGGGTACGAATTGGGCCGACCGCTGAAAGAAAACACAACAACGGCGACGACAGGAGCGCAAGCGCCATCAGCTGCGGATCGCGCGTCTCGGACGTCGCCTCGGCCGGCCGATTACTCACACCACGAGTTGACCGATGTCGTGCCGGTTCCTCGGCAACAGGTCGGACTTCCTCCACTTCACGAAGCTGCGTAGCACGTTGCCCGCGGAGTCCTCCACTTGGAACGGGTTGGACTGGCTAAAAATCTCCAGGCCCACGAGCACCACGCGGATGTTCAGCTGCTTGTAATACTACAACGGCGCAGAAAGGATCATGAAAGAAGAACATTTTTTTTTATCCATCTTTTCAGATGTCTTACCCCATCCAGCAGGTTGGCCATTTCCACCATCTCCTCGAGTATCGCCGTCTCATTTCCTTGCTTGAACTGATACTGTCAAGTCAAACGAACACAGAGAAGTCCAGCATATTCGCCCTCGGCTCTCCACTAATTCACGATGGACATTTTTTGCCCCGTTCTCTTGACATTCATTTCAACTCACCCTGAGATTATCCACAACCAAGACCAGCTCCACGTATCTGGTCTGAGGCAAATTGCGTTTCTTCTAGAGAAACAACAGGAAGAAGAAAAAAAAAAAAAACAAGGACACTTGGGATCCCCCCCGTTGACACTGCAAGATCACATCGCGAACGGACGGTAAATGTGAGCATCCAGACCCGCAGCAGAGCAGAGATGGCCTGCGTGGGCTCAAAGGGTTCACGCTTCGGAGTGGCCGCGTCCTCGCGGACCACGCCGCAGGTGACGGGTTCGGTCTGAATGTCGGCCAGTCGGTACAGAAGGTGATCGTTGGTGGGGGACAGCGGCACAGGCTCGAGTCCATAGCTGTCGTTTGCGAAAAGGATCACACCCCTGGACAGGAATCACGAGTAAATCCACGCAAAAAAGCAAAAATGACCCCAACTGTCATTTGGGGGCCTTCATGGGTGGCGGGTTGTCATCCACGCAAGTTCTTTTTAATCGATTTTTTTTTTTTTTAATAATCCCGCCAAAATGATCACTAATCTAGGTCGGTCAAGATCCAAACCTCAATCCGTAGCACGTGCTGAGTGCAACCACCGAATTCTCGTCGCCTTCCACCTCTCCGTGATAATAACAATGCACCTGGGGGGGACAAAATGAAAGCAACCGCATTGAGTAACGTTGCCGAAAGACAAAACGTTTCCAGTCAGCCATCCACTTACAGATTTCGGACGTGTTGCTGTGTGATGATCAGCCAGGTTAAAATTATTTCGAACAAAATCCGGATGTAAAAAGTCTCTGAGGAAGAACACGATGAGTCACAACTGCAGCATTTTAGATGAGGTGCATTGCGAAGTGGTGAAAAACCTGTTTCTCTTCAGATGAACGATGTGAGGACTATTGCCGATTTTTAGGAGATACGATTTATACTCCTCCGATTTCTGAAATTGTGATGGGGGGGAAAAAAAAACATACTTAAAAATTCGAGGACTCGTTTTACCTCCTGACACGCTTGACCACAACTTGCCTGTTCGGGAAGCAGCTGAGGTTGCACAATGGAATATTTAGTAAGTTTCAACCCATGAGTAATCTCTGGAAGGGAAACATAAGGGTTTGACAAAGGTGTTGAATTCATTTTTACACATTTCTTCATACCTGACATCAAACATCAAACAAACACGACTCACCTTTGCTGTCTACTCCAGAAATGCCAAATAGCAATAAAACAGCGACGATGTGGTATTCTTCGATCATGTTCTCACGACATGTGCCAACTACGCCAAGAGAAACATTTTTAGTGAGTCTTACTTTAATTGAACAGAGCGTCGAACCTCGGTTTCCTTCTATTGAACGTCATGGTGGGCGTGGCTGGACACACCTTTCACTTCTTTGAATGCTTTTCTTCTGTTGGATTTGGCAAATTACAGCTTCTTCAAACCATACAAGTTGTCATTTTCAGTCTCTTATTTTTAGTCGAAGGAATATGGTAGAACAATGCGTTAATAATTAGCATGAAGTAATTAATACAAATATAATTATATAAAGCACGTATTTTTCTTCCCTTGACGGTATTATTGTTGAAAAATCTCTCATAATTAGAATAGAAATATGAAAAAGTCAATATTAATGGAAGTGAAATTGATTATGTAAAAAATATAATTTAGGTGTTTAAATGTCGCGACAACATACGAGATCTCGGTGCGTCCTTTCCGCTTATGCGGCGGTACAAGCGGAAGTGACATCATGGCGGCTGCCGCAATATGCGTTTATCCTTAAATAATCATAGGGAAAAAGAAAAAAAGTACACAACAGTATGTCAAGTTCCTGAACTTATTCAAAACATGCAATAACAGAAAAGTAGTGTGCAAAATAGAGAAAAAACTCCAACAATGCCAGGGGTTGCATTTATATATATATACAGTAGTCAAATAAATTGAAATTTCCTTCACCTTATTCGTGAGCAAATGCCCATTTGGGACATACCAGATCTTCTTCCAGCAGATATCAGTTCCAATATGACGCAACACGCGGAATGGAGACACAGAGAACGAATCTTCTTGTCCCAATTTGTTTTGTTGGAGCATCAAACAAATACGATCCATCTGCGTCTGTAACCTATCCGGGAGAGAAACACGATAGTGCAACAAGTGAAATGGTGTCTGCAGAGCAACAATGCCGCCTCGTGGTGAACTGAGAGTATTAACATTGAGACTCCTTTTGCAATAATGCTCATTCTTCTTATACAGTATTGGAGCAGTATGCAATTATTACCAACAAAAATGTTGACTCCCAAAACAATTTCCACCCTTCTGTGTATTTTTGGATTTTTTTGCGGGGTTTATAAAGTCAACTCGAAGTACTGATTGCCTACAAATAAATGTACCAAACATGAAGGGTGTGAGGCACCCAGCAGAGGTCTTCTTTTGCAACACGCAGCCACACGCACACAGACGTACACCGCGCTGTGTGGTGGAGCAGCAGATGACAAAGGCTTAGAGCACCCACTAATCCTCTTGTCCACCATCTGGTTGCTCCGCTCAAATTAAAGCCTCCCGACCCAGCAAGGACTTTCACAGCAGATGCCTGCATCTGCATGCCATGTTTTGACATCAGCTTCACAATGACGTCATCAACGTGTGACTCTTCACCACCCATTTGCACCTGTTCAAAGGAAAAAAAACAAAAATGTTTTACTATCAGGATAAACAGCATCAAAACTATGAACACACCATCCAAAACAACATCCAAACCACAAAATGAAATCGTACCGACAAAAACTGCATTAAAAAAAAAACATGCGATGAAGTTAGGTTGTCTTTTGTGTGTATCTGATGCAATCTTTCGAAGCATATCATGCTCTGCATTGTCTGTTTCCAATCCTTCAGTGTGATTGGCTGACATCATCGAGCGTGAAATGCTATTTTTGTTCCGCGCTTGCAAAGTGTCAAACCTGCCTGCCACCAATTTCACATGTTAACACTGTGCCAAGGCTGTAAAACTGTGCACACGCCATCAAGATTTGCCTGCAAGCGAGACCCATGAATGGGACTTGAATCAAGAAAGTGGAAATTCATGTCACGTTTCCTTGCTTATTTTTCTGCTTGCACCCCCTCCGAGTAGATTTTATTTTTGTCCGCTTGTGATTGATGGCTACGTGAGGGATTGGTTCTCAATTTCCTCGACGCTGATACACTTTGTGTGCAAAAGGCCGGCCGGGCTCCGAACACTTTAATAATCGGTTCCCATTGGACCCCACGCAATGGTAAATCTGCCTGCTCCTTGCAATTCCATCCTGCTGCTTTGGCTCCCTTATTCAAAACATGCAATAACAGAAAAGTAGTGTGCAAAATAGAGAAAAAACTCCAACAATGCCAGGGGTTGCATTTATATATATATACAGTAGTCAAATAAATTGAAATTTCCTTCACCTTATTCGTGAGCAAATGCCCATTTGGGACATACCAGATCTTCTTCCAGCAGATATCAGTTCCAATATGACGCAACACGCGGAATGGAGACACAGAGAACGAATCTTCTTGTCCCAATTTGTTTTGTTGGAGCATCAAACAAATACGATCCATCTGCGTCTGTAACCTATCCGGGAGAGAAACACGATAGTGCAACAAGTGAAATGGTGTCTGCAGAGCAACAATGCCGCCTCGTGGTGAACTGAGAGTATTAACATTGAGACTCCTTTTGCAATAATGCTCATTCTTCTTATACAGTATTGGAGCAGTATGCAATTATTACCAACAAAAATGTTGACTCCCAAAACAATTTCCACCCTTCTGTGTATTTTTGGATTTTTTTGCGGGGTTTATAAAGTCAACTCGAAGTACTGATTGCCTACAAATAAATGTACCAAACATGAAGGGTGTGAGGCACCCAGCAGAGGTCTTCTTTTGCAACACGCAGCCACACGCACACAGACGTACACCGCGCTGTGTGGTGGAGCAGCAGATGACAAAGGCTTAGAGCACCCACTAATCCTCTTGTCCACCATCTGGTTGCTCCGCTCAAATTAAAGCCTCCCGACCCAGCAAGGACTTTCACAGCAGATGCCTGCATCTGCATGCCATGTTTTGACATCAGCTTCACAATGACGTCATCAACGTGTGACTCTTCACCACCCATTTGCACCTGTTCAAAGGAAAAAAAACAAAAATGTTTTACTATCAGGATAAACAGCATCAAAACTATGAACACACCATCCAAAACAACATCCAAACCACAAAATGAAATCGTACCGACAAAAACTGCATTAAAAAAAAAACATGCGATGAAGTTAGGTTGTCTTTTGTGTGTATCTGATGCAATCTTTCGAAGCATATCATGCTCTGCATTGTCTGTTTCCAATCCTTCAGTGTGATTGGCTGACATCATCGAGCGTGAAATGCTATTTTTGTTCCGCGCTTGCAAAGTGTCAAACCTGCCTGCCACCAATTTCACATGTTAACACTGTGCCAAGGCTGTAAAACTGTGCACACGCCATCAAGATTTGCCTGCAAGCGAGACCCATGAATGGGACTTGAATCAAGAAAGTGGAAATTCATGTCACGTTTCCTTGCTTATTTTTCTGCTTGCACCCCCTCCGAGTAGATTTTATTTTTGTCCGCTTGTGATTGATGGCTACGTGAGGGATTGGTTCTCAATTTCCTCGACGCTGATACACTTTGTGTGCAAAAGGCCGGCCGGGCTCAAATAGGAAAAGAAAGTAAACATTGGCAAAAGGTTGGCTGGAAAACGTTGGCGTCTTAAGGCGGAATGTGGCCGTTGGATGGCACCTCCAATCTGCCGGCACAGCACCCAACAAAAGTGTCATCAAAGTATGTGATATACTTCCATGGGAGGGGATCTCTTCTTCATCGACTCTGACTCTGGGCCAGTTTTGTAAAGAAGCATTCACGCTCACATTTACACCGATGGACAATGTATAGTGTTAAACTAACCTCAGAAGCATGTTTCTGGAAGGTTCAGTTCAGTTGTATTTAACTTTGAATTTCAACACATTTGCATATCGGTGGTCCTAAGTTTGAGAACCGCCATTCTGTACATTTTATGCGTGTCAGTTTTTTTTTTTTTTTTTGCGTGAAACAATAGGTTGAGGAAAAGAGGCGTCAAAATCAATTGATGAATTCACAACTGATCGATTATCAAAGTCTCAGTCTCTCAACAGTAATTATGCTCTGATTTCTGTCGTCCTTTGTGAAAGTGGAGCAGTTATGTACATGTCCGGTTCGTTCATTTGTACATTTTGCAATCAAAGATACAAGTAAACTTTTCTAGATTTTTTTTAATTGTGATGATTCTGACCCTGCCCTTGTTTTTTCTCTTGCAGTTTTCATCAAAACAAATTTTCCCTGAAATATCAGCGCTATAAATGACACCACATGGTCAAAATCGGTATTGCGCAAGCTTTTGCAGTTCAAAGTGTGCAAGATGTCAAACGATTTCCCAAAAAGATGCTTCTTTGTAAAGTGCGGATTTTCACTGGAACCGATAAATGGGGGCACAATGTCGATCCACATCTCCCGCAGCGTAAGAAAAGCGTCATTGACTTTTCTCGATCGCAAGCAACAGCGCGTGCCGGCAGCGGGAAGATGCGCGCGGAGCGAAGGGATGCGTCACCGGATTAGCGCCTTGTGAGTCCCACCCTCTCCTTCGCATCTTGAGCTGCTTTGAAGAAGGTCACACGGCTCGCCGCCCGCCTGCCCCCGAGAAGCCTTCCACATGAGCCAGCCGGGCCTCGTCGCCCCACCAGGATGAAGAAAGAGAAGAAGACGTCGGTTTTCACGCTGGTCCTCCTCCTGCACTTCAGCTCGGGTAGGTTTTGTTTTCTTGGATAGGTCTTTGCGCGTGCTTCAGACTTCCTCGGCGCTTTAATGCCTCCGGCATGCTTGCATTCGCACGCAATTCCAAGCATCCTTTCAGATTGAGGCGTAATCCCCATTGTTTTTCCTCCCCACTGCGTCCATCTCCTGCCTCGATCCTAGCAAGTAAGTGACTGTTTGAGACAGAAGAAAAAAAAAAAAACATTCTCGCCGAACTTGTTGCTGATGTGATGCTCATGTGGCTTTCCGCTGAAGGACAATCGGACTACGCTCCGTATTTCTACGACAATGGACCCAGCAGTACCAACGGGAACATGGCTTTGTTCAGCATCTCTGAGGACACACCAGTCGGTAGGAGCTTGGTGCTTTTTTCTTCCCATTACAGCGTACATGACAAAAGATTTTCCTCAATAATGCGACAAAAGTCAAGTTGACGTCGATATTTTTCCTCCCGCATGGTACCGGGGCGGGTCGGCCGGTTTCGGAGCGTGGGCCAGTTTTGCGTAAAGTGTTTTTTTTGACCCACCGGCAGGGAAAGAAATCCATCTCACCATTACGCTGAATGTAGTTGTAAAAAAAAAAAAAAAAAAAACGTGTCACATTTCTCCGTTTCTTCATTCCTAATTGACTTGTGCTTTTAGTGTATTTCAGGTGAGGCATTTTTCAAACAATCATCTCATTTCTGGTAAAGCAATTGTCGCAAAGTATTGCCATATGTGTACTGGAACCAGTGTTAGGAAGTGACGAATGAATATGAGCCGGCGATCATGTTCTCACGAACGAACGCTCTCGTTCATCCGCGACGCCGATGAGGATGAGCGGTGTAGAAAACGGACGGATGGATGAATTGTGGCGTTCCGTACGCCTTACCTGGTTTTTATGTTCAACGATTCCCATGCAGGAACGCAGATCTATGTCCTCAATGGCAGCGATCCCGAGGGCGATCCCATACGATACGGTCTGACGTTCCAAATGGGCTCCAAAGAGTATTTCAGGGTTGATCCCAAATCCGGAAACGTGACCCTCATTCTGGAGCTGGATCGAGAGGCGAGCCCTCCGCTGGCGACGTCATCTCACAGGAAGTCTGCTGCAACTGACATTTCTTCAAATTCTTTTTGTAGAAACAAGATGAGATTTCTGCGCTCGTGAGCATCACGGACGGGCGTAATAAAGTACGTAAGCAACGGCGGGATACCGCTCACCCAGAAGCCGTCCGCTTGCGGCAGTCTTGCGTTTTGTTTTCAGGTGGTTGAAAACGTGAGAGTGTTTGTCACCGACGCCAACGACGAACCGCCAGAGTTTCAAAACCTTCCTTTTATCGTCAATATCGCAGAGGTGAGGCTCTCCTGAAACGATGACAAATGCTGGAAATGCAGTAAAAAGCCGACCCCCGCGATGGCCTTGTTTTGCTTTTCTCCAGGATGTCGCGGCAGGCAGCAGCATCTACAGAGTGCAGGCGCGGGATAAAGATCTCGGCTCAGGAGGAAGCGTCTCCTATTCCCTGCAGGTGAACCTCCAGCTTTCAGTGCGATGCAGACGACGCGCCGTCGCCAAGCCGTTCCATTTCAGCCCCCCCGGCTTGATAATTGTCACGTTCGAGAGATTCCAAAGCTCTTTTGTTTTAGCAGAGGCAGACGAGAACAAAATAGTGGATATCTAAATGCCCCGTCATCCTGCGCAGGCTCCGATCGGCTGAGCCTGCGCAGGATGACGGGGCATCAAGGAGAGCTATTTGATGGCACGCTTGTCGTGAAGAATGCGAGGCCGGGAGGGGAATCTGGGCGAGGGTGGAGGGCCACCGGGTGGGTCTCAGTTGGCTTGAGGACTTTTTGTTCCGCAGCTCTCGGCTGAGGTGATCCAGGCAACTGTGCGGTTCGTTCACTCGCTCAGAAGTCCTGAGTGGGGTCCAAAATAGGATGGAGGGCTCTCTGGTTGGACCCGGGGGGGAGTTGGGAGGGGACGGGATGCGACTCGAGAGGATGCCATCCGGGTTCGAGATACATTGTTGAACATGTATAAGCGTACCTATTGTGTCTCCTTTTAGCGCTAGATGTCAAAAAATCTTTGCAGTTCCAAAGACAGCGCTGGTTTGTCAATGCATGACAAACATTTACCATCTGGAAGAGTTTGCCAAATGACCACGTGAAGTGACCGGGCTGCCAATGGAACGGGGTGGAAAAAAGGTCATTTCAGTGATGGGATAGCGTGTCGAGGGAAAAGATTAATCTCATCCCAAACAAATATGTGTGACTTGAGTGGATTAAATTTTAATTACATTTTGAGCAAGGCACGGGGAGCTTAATAAGGGCTTACGTTGGCCAACGACGTGAGTGACAAATGTCCGCCGCCGTTGCCGCTGATCAGACTAACCGCAATGTGAACCCCTCGTGTGACGTCTGTGCCATCAGCCGACGCCGTTCTCCAAGTTCACCATCGACGCCCACAGCGGGATCCTGAGGGTGAAAGCGGGCGAGTGGCTCGACTACGAGACCACGCCCACGCACTTTGTGACGGTGCTCGCCAAGGTGAGAGAGCCTGAGGTTCACGCGCACGAGCCTGATGCCGTTGCGGTGATCCAGGCTCACATTTTGACATTTGGTGGCGTACAGAACACAGTCGAGAGGGGTTTGCATCTTGCGTGCGTGGGTTTTCTCCAAAAAAACACGCCCGAGAGGTCAACTGCAGAACTCGAAATGATCAATAGAACTAGAACGTGTCCTTCTCTCACACGCGGCTGTCTTGCTCAGGACGGAGGAGGGAAATACAAGGGCAAACATCAGGTTTTGACCTCCACAGCCACCGTGACGGTTAATGTCCTGGATGCCCAAGACACGCCCCCGTCTTTCGTGGGAAGGCCTTACTTTGGTTACATCTACGAGGTCTCCGTTCCTGTAAGTTGTCCACTCCGTCCCGTAAAAAGCACGGGCGCCGTTTTGATCCGACGTTTGTCATCTAGGGCTCAGAGATTCTCACCGTTTACGCCCGAGACGGCGATCAAGGCAATCCCAACCCCATCTATTATTCCATCATCGGCGGTGAGGGCAATCGAAGCGCGCCGGATCACGTGGATGTCCGACCACAATAACGCAGACTCTCTCTTCCAGGGAGTGACGGCGTCTTTGACATCAACAGCACGAGCGGGTGCGTCACGCTGACAACCCAGCCCTCCCTGCTGAAAAACGAACTCTACGAAATTCAAGTCAAGGTAGCGCTTTTCGCCTTCGGGTATTTTTGCTTGGCAGCTCGGCGTGCGCCGATATTGACCGGTCGCCGGTCCATTGTTTGTCTGGATATGGCCCATCGATTGGTGACCAGTCAAAGGTGGAGCCCGCCCCGCGGCTCAGCCGCCAAGTCGAGGAGGACGAGCGCTTGTGAAAAGGGATGGACGGTCGATTGGGTTCTTACGTCTCCGCGTACCCGTGTCACGTTCCCGACCAGGCATCTGAGGTGGGAGCCGACGGTCTGCTGCGGGACCACGACACGGCTGTGGTGACGGTACGAGTGGTGGATCTCAACAACCACCCGCCCACCTTTTACGGCGAGAACGGGCCGCAGAGCACGTTCGAGGTCACCATGTCCGAGCATCCTCCCTCCGGCGAGATCCTGCGGGGATTCAAGATCACCGTCAACGATTCTGATCAAGTACGTCGGCGCTGATGTAGCCCTCAGAGTTGTGCATTCCTCTGCTTTCTAGCATTTTTTTTTTTTTAGCAGATATGGCGTAGATATAGATCATAAACACCCTTCCAAAAGTAGACATCTTTTTTTAAAATGGCACCGAATTCACGATTCTTCCTATTTCCAAAGGGAGCTAACGCTAAGTTTAAACTGAGGCTGGTGGGGCCCAGCCGAGTTCTCCGAGTGGTCCCTCAGACGGTCCTGAACGAAGCCCAGGTGACCATCATCGTGGAGGACGCATCTGGCATCGACTACGAAAAGGGACCCACGCTCTCGTTTAAGGTCGGGACCGAAAGGATGATATTATGACGACTTCTCCGTGTTTTGGTCAAGACGTCGCAGTCGTCATGAAATAAAAGGAGCGATTATTATTATTACAGCTGTTGGCGGTCGAGCTCGACACTCCCGAGCGCTTCAGTGCGACGGCAGACATCGTGATCAACCTCCTGGACACCAACGACAACACTCCCAAATTCACGTCGGACTATTACATCGCCAGGGTCGCCGAGAACTCGCCCGGGGGCACCAGCGTTTTTACAGTTGCGGTGAGTCAGCCGACCGAAACGCTGTTGCCGAGCAATACTTTCGATTCGACGACGTGTTCCTGAAAAGCCGACGAATCTCTTCCCAAGGGTGGATTTGATTCACGTCGTATGGCCGCTTTGCACCGGGCGACGTTGCGCGGGCGTGCAATGTTGGATTCATTTCGTTTTTTTGTCCGCTTCGGCGCGTCGTCGCGTCGGTCCAATCTGCCCGCGGCTTGCAGAATCCGCGTCATGACTTTGACTATATTCGCAACTTCAAATTGGTCCTCGCTCCGGCTGGCTCTCGATGGCCCCTAATTGGCTGGTCTGAGCGAAGCACAAGTTGCAAACTTGCAACGCATCCGCAACAGCCTCTGTGGCCTCTGACCGCCACTTTGTCCCGCTTCCTCCGCCAGGCCAACGATCCTGATTCGGGGCCCTGGGGCGAAGTCAAATACAGCATTTATGGACCGGGATCAGATCTGTGAGTAAACCTCCCGCAGTCGCACGCGTCGAGATCCGGAAGCGGAGGCGCCGAATAAAGAAGACGGCAGAAATCGGCCACCGCACTCCACAAACGGCCTCGCCCTTAAGATGGCGGCTTATTATCATTGCGGCTTATCTCCTAATTGGATTGGAGGGTTAAAAATAGTTGGCGGGGGCCCATCTCGCGTCGTCGGAAGAGCCAATTAACATGGAGGGTGACAGCTGCAGCCCGAGACGTCGCGGCGAGGTGAGAACGCGCGCGCGGCCAAGGGAAAGTGCAAATTTATGCGCCTCCGCAGGCGCTCGCCGGAGTTAATTGTGTGAAAGTTGGCAGTCTGCGAGTAACTTGTGAGTTATCGCTGTGAATAAAACGGCAGCGAGCGCGGTGTTGACACAAATACACCGCGGGGGCAAAAATATCAAGTATTTCGGCCATATTTTTCTTCTTCGTGTCGTCCTATTTTTCTGAAGTGCATTTTTCAGCAACTGCGGACAAAATTCCAAATTCCGAGCGGATGAAAAAGTCGTCCCGATTCCGCAGGTTTTCCATCCAGCCGTCGACGGGCCTCATTTCCACGCAGCCGTGGACGTCGCTGGACGCCGAAGTGCGCTCCAAGTTTAACTTTTACGTCAAGGCGCAGGACTCCGAGGGAAAGTACAGCCTGGCCGAGGTCTTCGTCACCGTGCTGGACGTGAACGACCACTCGCCCGAATTCGACGACCCGTTGCTGGAGAAGACGATGGTCATCGGAACGCCGATCAAAGTCGAGGTGCGTGACGTGAGAAGAGACGCGCGCGGCTTACGGCGATTTGGTCATGCCAGGGCGAAAAGGAAGCGAGCGAGCTCTCGCTTGATGAATTTTGTTGTGCTTCCTTCATTGCGCGGCCGATGTTGCGAGCGCAAATTACGGGTGAATTTTTTTTTCATGGTTTCCAGTTCTGTTCAGAGGTAGCAATGTTTCGGAAACTAGAAAGCGCCCCGGCGCCGGTTCTTCACCAAGATGACAAAAGCTTTGTCGCGTGACAAGTTGCGTGAAGCTACTTACCTCGCAGGCGGTGGACGAGGACGCCGAGTCTCCCAACAACGTGGTGGAGTACTGCATCATGTCGGCGGATCCCGACGACGCCTTTGAGATGGACGCCCGGACGGGCGAGATCCAGCTGAAGCCGTACATCAAGTCGATGGAGATCGTGCGCAACATCACGATGCAGAAGGACTGCAAGTGGTCACTGGTGGTGCAGGCACGAGACCGCGGCTCTCCGTCCTTCAGCACGACCGCCGTGGTCAACGTCGACATCACCGAGGCGGTAAGGCCGTCCGAGCCTGGGACGCTCGCGCCCACCTGCGCTGTAGACAAATTGCTGCCTCGCTGCACTGCGGCTCATTCGAACGTGAAGACAGACGCACAGTGAACCCCCCCTCACTCTTTTGCCCAGGCAAAGGGACCAATCGTAGGCAAACTGCAAACTTTCCGAGCGCGACCGTCGTGTATAAAGTGGGACCAATTCCATCGCAAGCGTCGAGTCGCTCAATTTCGTTTGGAAAAATGAGCCAAATGGCAAACCGGCGGGGGTTCGCTCACTCTTTTGCCAAAGGGACCAATCGTAGGCAAACTCCGATCAGAAGCGCCGACGGTCATTTCCGAGCGCGACCGTCGTGTTTAAAGTGGGACCGATTCCATCGCGAGCGTCGAGTCGCTCAATTTCGTTTCGAAAAATGAGCCAAATGGCAAACCGGCGGGGGTTCGCCGTCGGAGGATTCACGTTTCGCTTGATTTGCACGCCACCGTGTCCGTCGAGCTGTGTGTGTTTTCATCGCATGGCTCGGCATGTTGACGATGTTCTGTTTCTGGTCTTGTGTGTTGTGCATCGTGCTTTCCAGGTCAAGGGACGTATTGTTTCCTATTTCCTGGGCCTCAGCGAGCGTCCGCTGACCGTTTTTGGAATTTGTTTCAGCCTTGTCGTTACCCTCCTTTTGCTCACTGTCTGCATCTCCACAACGCTTTACTGTAACGCAGTGAAAAAGTCCCGAATCAACCCGGACAGTAACTATGTCAAAGTGGTCCGCAGACCCAAGTGAGGGAAGGGATGCCTCCATGTCACGTTGTGTTTGTTTCTTGCTTCGCTTTGTGAAAGACGAGCGAGGAGGACTCGTTCACGTTTCCCCGATCTTCGAGAGCACTTATCCTCGGAAGGCACCGAAACGGAATAGCTAGCTCGCGCGACGACTCGCGGTACCGCGGCAGAATTTGTAGGGGCGCATTCGTTGGTGAATTTGGTACCGAGTGACTCCACGCGCTTCACAAAAGTTCGGAAGTAGGACTGGTGTGAATCGCATCCACAGAACAAATCTGCCGCCAAAGCCTTTTCCCTTTGGCTCCTGGACTCCGATTGGCACGTGACGTGTCTTCCCTGATCAGCTCCACGCCAAGCTCGGGCGCGCCCCCAAACGATTGCGTGCGGAGCAGGGCTGTCAAACTCTTTGGAGTTCACGAGCCATATGCGACCGCCAAATTTGACACGAAGGTGTCGAAGCGGTAAATCGGGTCGCGTCACGGCACAAATGAGCCCGCTTTTGGCCTTTCGGCTGTATGCTTGACCCCTCCGGTCCGGAGAACGCAGCGGGGTCGTTGTTCGGGCCGTCCCCTGCCGGCGCATCGCCGATCGATCTATCGCACGCCGGGAATGACGCTCGCATGCTTCCAATTGTGTGTGCTCTTTTGCAGACTCCTCTCAAGGGGCCTATGGCGGCCTTTTTAATGAGGAGTCGGGACAACCCCATGAAAGCGTTAGGCATGCTTACCTTCATTATTAGCTTGTCGGTAGGAGCGACCGTTCTCATCTCCACGGCCATCTACATGCGCAACGCCAAGTCCCAAAACAGGGTGACGCCTGCGCGCCGCATCATCAAGAGGCGACCCGGGCGCCGGCAGCCTCGGACCTTCAACGTGCTCGCCTTCAAATTCGGCAAGCCCTCCGAGAAGTTCCTCGCGCAGGATCCGGAGGGGAGCCCCGAGCGGGAGAGCGGCACCCAGAGAACGAGGCGGCCGCAGCCGCCGCCGCCGCCGCCGCCCTGCGCCCCGTGTCTGCCCCCGCCGGCCCCCGAGAGGTCCCGCGCTGTCCCCACCATATCGGGAGTCTTGGCCTCCAAAGGTTCCAGGAAAGGCAAGCGGGGCGGTCGCAAAGAGGGCAACGTGAGCTCGGCGCTGGTTTCCGAGTTGAAAATGAGGCTGGAGCAGAAAATTAGAGAAAACAACCAAGGTTACTATTAGCCGGACGTGGCAAAAGTACTCACGCCGAGTAGAAGCACACAGACTTGTGTCGAAAAACAGACTTCCCATTCATTCACTTGGGTCAAAGAAATTACAGACTGAAATCAACGTCATTACAATCGGAAAAAACGGATCCGTTTAGATGACCGGGCGTGAAAAATCAAATCGCTCCAATGTTGAATTAGCCGGTACGAACAACAGAAAGACAAAGAATTTCACCGCTCTCTATTTGCATCTTTTTTTAACTTGACCTCATCATCCCTGGAGGTCAAAGCCGGCCAAAAGCCTATTTTGACAGGGCCTAGAAAGTACAGATCAATGTTTTGAAATATTTCGCGTCAAAACAAAACCTCCTCAGAAAAATAAAAATAAAATCAAGAATGCGCCAGTGAAGGGCGGATAACTGAAAGCGACAAAGAGCAGAAGAGCATTACCACACCGCCATCGTGAGGAGGATCCCATCATCTTAACCGCGGAGATTTGGGCGTCTGGAAAGAAACGCCTCGGCTCTACTACGCCGCTTTGGAGTAAAAAAAAAATCAATAAAATGAGCCCATATGAGCAAATCCGGTAATAACGAGGACTGACCCAATAATTAATAACACTGTACATTCGACACAGTCGTTTAAAAAAAAAAAACACACATAAAAATCAGCTTGTGATGAAGTGCTAATGTTGCTCACCGCTTCAAAGCTAGCACAGGTTCTCATCCAAATATTTACTTTGGCGCAGCCGTTTCCTGTTTTGACGACTTGTTTTTATTGACCGCACTGAACTTAGACGTTTACATGAGCATGTCAGAGCCTTGATTTAGCCTCAGCCGAGTTCTCATGAGAACATGCCCAATGCTTGCTCTTTTTGTACCATTACCATGTGCCACGGTCGCATCGCGCTCGAAGAAGCTCGCTCGCAAGGTTTGCTTTGGTGTAGCTGTATTAAAACACGTGCTTTTGAGAAGATGTTTTTTTTTTTTCTCAATGTGTGTATCAAACAGTGTTCCGAGTATCGGGATGTATCAACTAGAACGCTTGTGATTCCGGTGTCAAACTGACATATACGCTGGGCACGTTGGGATTTCAACCGCACGCACGTTTCTTTTTGGAGGTACTCAACAGCAATTCAATCAACGTCAAAATATCCAAGATTTATGCGCATTCCCGTATTTCTCATCAATGCCTTCAAATCCAGGCAATTTAGAGGTCATGTGATTATCGTAGTGGAACGTATTTGCTCGACTTTGTAAAATACACGGGGATAAACGGCAGAAACGAGAAAAGACACCGCCTGGTCTTTGCATGTTACATATTTGTACCGTCTTTGTATTTGATTGATTTTGAATAAATATTTCAACAGAATAAGGCCTCTGGTACTCGTGTGTGTGTGTGCGCGCGCGCGCAGAGGCTGCAGTCGATCGGATTATTAGATTAATACGAAGCCTTAAACGTCATCTGTGACACAACAGGATTATGACAAAGGACTCATTCAATGGGAGTGAGGCAAAGAAATATCGATTTTTCTTTGCATTGATGCAATAAGTTAGCATCAGCACTGCAGCGATGGCATAAACATTGTGCTCGTTGAGGATGTTAGCACGGGCTACTAATTAGTGCTTTCATTCACGCGGAGATGAGGTTGAACTGGTCACACGTCGTTCAAATCTGCACACAGCACAGAACAGATGGATGGCAGTCAATGAACAGCATTCAAATATGGATTTGTGCGCAACAGCTTTTTCGATCGAATTTGAAAGCGTTGGTCAAATTCGGAGGTGTCGAATCCAAATCCCGTCAAAGTTTGGCTTTGGCCACACGTGACGATACTCAACGGCTACGGGGGAGCTCCGAGCTCCGTTCACCGGACGGTTGATTCGAAGTGCCAAACTTTTGGCGGGGTTTTTACCTTCTGGTAACATACTGAAAAAAAAAACACGCAGAGAGTATGGGTTAAAATGGATTTGCTTTAGAAATCAATGCGCAGAACGTGGGCAATGTCACTTGTCATTAAATGGAAATATCATGTCCCCCAGAGGGTTGAGAGAGAAAATCACTCTAATCTGCTTAGCAGTGTATGGATAAAATGCAAGGGAATATCGGGCTTATGTAACAAATCCTCTAAGTGATTGTGCAAAAAAAAAAAAAAAAAACCCCAACACTTGTGTGGCTTTCTCATTTTAATCCATGAACGATACACGCTGAACATTGTTCAGAGGAAAAAAAATTCTAATCCAGTGCTAAACATTCTGTATCAAAATGAAAAAAAAAATGGAATGACAATCATTCTGACACATTAGTAAATACAAACCCTTCTTACAATAAGGAATAAAGGCCGAGTTGTGGATTTCAACGTGTCTGAGCGGCAGTCTGCCACAAAATGGGCTGGGCTCCAATTCCACCCATGCTCCTCTAGGAACATGGATGGCTTTTGCGTCGCATTGCCTACTTCTTTGATGTTTGATCTCATCACTCCCGGATGGTCAACTTGCTCCTGTGTCAACGAGACCCTGGGGGGGGGGGGGGGGGGGGTCGACTCCAGTTTGTGAAAGCCAGGTTATATTTCAGGACTCCTCATTTTCCTTGCCGATCACAGGTCTCGAGGTCTCTGCTATGCGCGGAAACCCCCGTGAGACAAATTCCAGGCGACACCCCGCCCAATTTCGCAAAGATCCGGTTGGAAAACTGCCACCTGATGGAGCTACCTCCAGGATCCTTCTCCAAAGTTGGTGCCTTGGAGTTCCTGTGGCTCGATTTCAATGACATGGCCTTGATGCACACCAAAAGGCTCCAGGGGCTTTTGGCCGATCTGACCGAGTTGCGGCTGCAGGGCAACAAGCTGCTTTCTAAATGTAATCGATTCATGTCCACAAAGGTTACGCTGGATAACAAAATGTGGTTTGGGTTGAAAAGATGAACCGTGAGGTCCCAAAACACATCTGTATGAACGTCAACAACACACGCACACGGTGTAGAATTTCCCCTTTTTGCTTTCATATGCAAGACTTGGGATTCCTTCCACAAGGGGGTTCGGTGACGTCATCCGGCGGCAAATGAGCCGCCAGCGTCCTTCGGAGAGCCCTCAAAGAGGCATCCGGATTCACGACTCCGCTCTCAAAGTGCATCTGCAGGAAGTGGAGGCCAATGTCGGTCGGGTTCTAACAGAAATACTCGTTGGGTGGCGCCTCAGTCCTTGTTATGGCCTCGGAATCGACGCTGGATCTCGCCGAAAGCAGCCTGTTGGACTCGTCGGGGTTTAAGCGCGTAAGGTACTCGCCTTCGACGCCTTTGGTTTTGGCCCCGGGGCCCAGAGTCTCAAAGGTGACATAGGAGTCCTGCATTTCCTTGGAGGGCCGGCCGAGGAGCTTTTGGCAGCGCTTCTTAATGGCGCCGCAGCACACGATCAGAGTGAGGGGCACGGCGATGACGCAGGCGACCGTGATGACCACCACGTTGATGAGTTTCTGGGTGCCGCTGGCGCTGGCCGCCTCGTCGGTCGAGAAGATGACGCACTGCTCCTTTTTCGGGATCAGGCCCTTGACGCAAACGCAAGCGATGTACTTTGTTTTTGGCACCAGGCCGTCGATGGTGATCCGATTTTTGCCCGCTCCCACGTTGATCCGCCGCATGTCGCGCTCGCCAAAGACGGCGTAGAGAACGCTGAACTCCGTGACGTTTGTGGCCGTCGGGGCTCGCCAGTTCAACGACACCGTGTGGTCGGTGTCGCCGATCACCTTCACCGAACGCACGATCCTTTTCTCGGGGGCCTGCTGCAAGGACGAGGCGTTGCCCGCCACGTTGCCCGAAGCGACCCGCTCCGGCTTTCGAAGGGCCGATCCCCGGCCTCGTCCTCGGGAGCCGGAGGAGTGGCTGTAGCTCTCCACCTCGTACTTCCCGGTGACGCCTTTGCCATTGAGGGCTTCGATGAGGGGCTTGCCCGCCGCCGAGGCGGTCGGCGGAGGGACGTATCTGGCGACCAGCTTTTCTTGATACGCGGCCCTCCCGACGCTTGCGGGCTTCTTCCCTCTGGGCCTCTTGGCGACCACGCCGCCGGCCTCTTCGGAGCGAAAGCCGTCCGTGATCACCAAGGAGATGATGGCGTCCGCGCTGCCCACAAAGTTGGTGGCCTTGCACACGTACTTTCCCGAATCCCTGTAGGAGACTGCGGGCACGCTCAAAATGGACCAAATGATGCCTTCCTTTGAGATCTCCTGCTGAACTGAAAATAGAGGAAAAGGTTGGTCGGGTTAAGCAGATTGGCACAAAGAGAAGACCTTTAATCCCGCCGACACTCGCGCGGAAATAGATGCCGTTCTAATCTTAGCGTCTCTGTATTTGGTTCAGGAGAACTCACTGGTGCCGTTGATTTTCTTGCCGTCGGCGCGGTTCCAAGACAGCTCGGGGATGGGAACGCCGACGGTGCCGCAACGAAGCAGGACGTTGTTGCCCAGCGAGCTGCGGACGCGCGCTACGGCCGTGTGCACGCGGGGGCCCTGGCACCTCTGGACCTCCGCTTCCGTGAAGAAAACCCCGGACAGACTCTCCGGGTCCGCGCACCGCAGCCTGGGGTCGATCAGAGCGACTGATGACCTCGGCGATTTCTGGAACTGGACCAAATCGTAAAGGCGGCAGTCGCATAACCAGGGGTTGTCGTGGAGACCTGAAAACCAGAGACCATGTCGCATGTGAGCTTACTTTAATCACACACACACACACACACAACTACTAAAATGAGATGAATCCACCCTTGGGGTGGTGAAAGACAAATATGGCGACAGAGAACTGAATGAAGAAACAAGAAACTCACCAAGAATAAATTTGGAGGAATCCGCATCCTGAGGCGCTTTCACGCTTAGCCAAAGCGAGAGGACGTTCGCGGGGACGGTGGTGAGAGTGTTGCTGGATAAATCCAGATAGGTGATGTTTTGGACGTACGCGAGGGCCTCGGCGGGCACGCTGGAGATCTTGTTGTTGTGCAGGTCGAGCAGCCTCAGATTGGGCATGGAGCTCAGAGACTCCCACGGGAACCAGGTGAGGGCGTTCCCGTCCAGTCTCAGCTCGTTCAGGTTTGCGAGACCCCGGAAGCTCTCTGCGCTGAGAGAGCTCAGGGCATTGAAAGACATCCACAGAAACTCCATGCTGCCCAGGTAGCCGAAGTTGCCGCTCGCGATCCTCGTGACGGCCGTCTTCTCGATGCGTATCTTGGAGGTGTCCGGGGGGAAATTTGTCGGGATGACGCTGATCTTGGGATCGTTGCACAGGACGCTTCTGCGGGACGAAAGAGTGCAACTGTTGGAATCCTGATGACAACGTAGCCAAAGATTACAAATATGTTTCCATTCAGCTCAAGTGAGTGCAATTTGCTCGCGCTGGAACAACCTTCCGCACATTTTGTGGAGGGAGAGAACCGTATCGCATGTGTTAACCTTGCAAAAAAAAAAAATCAATAAAAACGCAATTAGCAATGAGCTCCACAGCATGAATGTGCCGTCTTTCTATAAAATGCATCACGGTTTCCAACCTGTCATCATGTAAGAGCTTAAAAATAGCTTTTATTTGAAATCAACGGTTCTGCCAAAATAGCGGCCGGCCTATTGTCCCGGAACAAGAAAAGCAGATTAAAGAGCAACTGCAAGTTAATCCTCCACTACTGAATTGATGAAAGTACCGATGGGCTTGCCGTTTCTTTTTTGTGTACACACACACGATACCAACAAGTGAATGGGGAAATAGAGCAAAGTAGCAAGACTCATCTTTACCTGGCTTTGGAACCGTCGCTCAGTTTGTGGAAGAAGCAGCTGCACTGCGCAGGGCACGAAGTGGTCATGAGGGGGAAAACCACGAAAGCCACGCAGAAAGCGCAAGACAAATGTCGACTCATTTTGCTTCCGGCGAGGCTCCGAAATGCTTGGCGCTACTTCGCCGCGGAACGCGAGTCCGAAAAGGAGTTGCGGCGGTTTAAGCGGACGCGGGATGCGTGGCGGCCCATCGGCTCCATTCTGCTCCGCCTGCTGTCAATCCTCGGCTCAAAAGGATGCGCTGGGATTAAAGGAGCGGGGGGGTGGAGGAGGAGGAGTTTACTTTGTGGTTATTTCCATTCACACGATTCCACCGGGGCGATCCTGGATGCTGATAGGCTGCACACTTGTCAGTCTCGTTTTCTTCCCGACGTCGACATTTCACCCAGACGCGCAAACGAGGCCGGCTGGAGAACCTTCAACGGGTGCCGCAGGACATCACAAAATTCTAATCATTTGAATTGAGATTTGATCATTGCCGACAGAGGTCGGAGGAAACCTTTTGTCGAAAGCAACCGCTGACTGATATTCGCACGACTTTGTATGTGGGAAAGTTTCGACAAAGGCGTGCTGCGTCTTTTTGGTGCGATAAATCTCATCAAGACGGAGTCAAGAATTGACACAATCTTCATGTTTCACTGACCTACTTTGAATACGTCACAGGCGCGTTTCTTTCCCAGGTGCACTTTTGATTGACGCAAAGAGGAAAAATCCTTTCATCCAGTCATCTGTGTCTTTTTTAATCAATCCTTTTTTTCCCTTGGATTGAACTGTTCTCCCTGCAAATACAAGAGGAGCGTTTTGAGAGCATTTGCACTGAATCGCAGTGGTGAACGAGCATGTTTAGAATCTACAACGATGAAAACATCAACCGCATTTGATAGTGTTCTTAAGGAGCAGCTGTTACAATTGTCTCCTATTTTTATGTCGATATTAATTGAGAATTTCAGGTTAGCGGTCACCAGCATGTGATGCTGCTATAGCCTCCCGCCCCCAACACACAAGTCATCTGCCGGGAAATGGAATTAATTCATTTGTTGATGAGTTGGTGCTAATCTGTAAACACATTCATGCAATCAGACTCTCGCCACACAATCTGAAAATAGGCTCCCGAGAGAGCAAAGGGTCCACCTTCCCATCACACCCATCCATTTTCGGGTCCTCATTAGGGCCACGGGGGAGTTGGATCCTTTCCCAGCTGACTTTGTGAAAGAAGCGGGATACATCCTGTCACGGATGTCACCCAGTATTGACAAACACTCATACCGATGGGTAATTTTGACTCTTTAGCTCACCTTCCATGCATGTTTTTTTGTTGTTTTTTTTAAAGACTGGGGAAGAAGCCTGGAGAAAAGCAGCACCAACTCCATGGTTGGGGGCGCACCGGGGTTTGGCGGTGTTATGGCAGCATTTTTTTATTGACGTCTTATAAATATATCGCTCCATGGGTAAAATATTCAGAATAAATGGAGCGATGGTATCGTCGAGCCTGACTGACAAGGGACCAGTTCGTGGATGTACCCCCCCCAAAATCAGCAAGGAAAGGCACAAGCCCACCCTGAAGAAGGGAGAGGATAGGAGATGGATGGAAGAACTGAAAGATGGAACTTCAATCACTTTGCAGAGACGATACAAATTGGCATACATTCACTTTTAGCGTTTGATATTAATGACAAGATGACACCGTCGATTGTAGAACTTCATGAAAGTCATGAGAGATGAAGACCCCCACATTTCCGGCTAACTAAGAGCAAAGCGTTCTTGTTCGGACATTCTTGGGGGGATTGCAGCAGCACCGAGGAACAAATCTTAAGCTCATTGTTCTCTTTTTACACCCTCCCCTTCATGTGACAAGAGAGCAACACAAAGCTTCACTTTTGAGGGGGGGGAGGACAGAACCAGAAAGGTTGTATTGACTTCGCCTCGGCGAAGTTTGGGGGAAAAAAAAAAAAAAAAAGGTTTTCGAGGGGAAAAGTCCACAGGTTGTTGTGGTCTTCGGTCAACAACATGGCGGGGTACACCTTACCTGAGGGCTTCACCGACGTGGACATGTTCTTGTTCGGCTCGGCGCTCTTTGTCGGCGGTAAGTCGAAACGAGGAACTCGGTTGGTCCCGTCGGTCGGTCTCACCCGCGGTCCGTCGACAGGCGTCCTCGGGTTCCTCCTCAACGCCGTCACCGTCGTCTCCTTCCTGCGCGTCCGGGAGCTGAGGACCCCCAGCAACTCCCTGGTCTTCAACTTGGCCCTGGCCGACCTGAGCCTCAACGTCAACGGACTCACGGCAGCCTACGCCAGCTACATCCGGTCCGGCAATCTCCAACACCCACGGGGGCACCTGATCGAACCGTTTGGTCTTAATTTGTATCAGTGATATTTCTTAACTAGACTAGTTCGGCGGACAAGCCTCTACTACAACAACAACAACAAATCTAGTTAGCTAGTACCACCTTCGAGGTTGACATTTTTTTTCGGGATTCCCACGGAATGGGAGGCAAACTTGACCTTTAACCTCGGGATTGGGAGAATCGGGAAGCAGCCGCGAGCGGGACTATCCCGTGCGCGAATCAACCGAGACATTGGGACTTTTTTTTTTCTTTCGGCCACTGTCATATTTTGCATAACTCTGCGCTTTAAAATGGAGAAAGAAACAAACTCATTCAATCAAAATGTTTTGAACTCAAAAATAAAGTCCAAATCTTCTGCTTTTTGTAAACTAAAAGACACACAGCAGTGGATGTACTGCATTTGTTCAACTTGGATGTACCCGTAAATCTTTCCAGCGCTTTGACAGCCTGCAGCAAAGCGCTTTCCAAAACTTTGAACATGAAATAACAATGATACAGTAGGACACATTTTTTAAATGTTACTCCATATAATTTGAAGGTGCTTTCCAATCATGTCCATGAAGACATTTCCGACAACAACCTGGACTATGATTAAATACCACTGAAACCAGAACAGGGTCATTTTAGGCATTCTTACATTACGTTGAAAGCAAGTTGTGTGAAAGATCCCGATGCCAGAAAAACAAAACAAAACAATGTGATCAATCATTTCAGTGGATAAAATGAAGTGTTCCACTACTACTTGAAGTCTGCACTCAGGAATATCAATCTAAAATTCTGTAAGAAGATTAGCGGAGAAAATATATCAATAAAGTTATGTCCGTTTCCTTACTCCCCCTGACCTTTCTGATATGTTTGAATGCGTGCGTCTTTGTCCGCCCTCCCCGCTTGTAGACATTGGCCTTTTGGCCAGAACGGATGCGCCTATCACGGCTTCCAGGGCATGATCGCCGTCCTGGCGTCCATCAGCTTCATGGCGGCCATCGCTTGGGACCGATATCACCAGTACTGCACCAGTGAGTTTAAACTCCAAAAATGAACGCATCAACATGAAGACAGTCGGACGAGATTCAACACGAGAACTGATCTGAAAGAATCGAAAGTGGACATTTTTGATGCAGCTCTTGTATTGATCTAATATGTGTTTTTTTTTTTAATCAAGTTTTGTTCTTTAGGTAACCAATATACTAGTAACGGCAATCTCACTCATGCAATGGCATGAGGAAAAAAAAATGCAAATGATATTCAGACATGCTTTTGTAGTTACCTTGGTAAAGACGGCCATTTTTGTCCCACTTTGTCACCACGCAGGACAAAAGCTCTTCTGGAGCACGTCCATCGTGATGAGCACCATCATCTGGGTCCTGTCCATCTTCTGGGCTGCCGTCCCGCTCATGGGCTGGGGCGTGTACGACTTTGAGCCCATGAGGACCTGCTGCACGCTGGACTACACCAGGGGTGACAGGTAGGAGAGAAGCACTTGGCAAAATGGAACAGCGAGAGAGCATGAGGAAGAGGCGATGATCTTCTCTCGTTAGGGACTTTGTCACCTTCATGCTCACCCTGGTGCTGCTCTACTTGACCTTCCCGGCGCTCACCATGCTGTCGTGCTACAGCGCCATCAACAAATACTTCAAGAAGGTCCATCACCACCGGGTAAGCACGCCTCGAAACCCATTGAAAGCCACAGTACACACTTTGAAATGCGGTTGCGCGACGGACCGTCAATTGCAATTTGGACTTGTTGCTTTTCAGTTCAACACCAGTTTGCCTTTGAGGGTGATGCTCATGTGCTGGGGTCCTTACGTGCTCATGTGCATCTACGCCTGCTTCCAAAACGTCAAGGTTATATCCCCTAAGCTGCGAATGGTGAGCCAATTGAATCCTCAAAGCTGACGGCTGGACATTCCCGGCTGCCCTGATAAAACGCACGCGGGTTGCGCTTTCTTCCTCTCGAGGTGCTTCCGGTGGTGGCCAAGACCAACCCCATCTTCAACGCGCTGCTCTACTCCTTTGGCAACGAGTTCTACCGCGGAGGCGTGTGGTACTTCCTCACCGGGCAGAAGATAGCCGAGCCGGATCCCAAGAAGGCCAAGTCCAAATAGGCGGAAAAGTTAACCTTTTTTTTGGGGGGGGGGGCCGGGGTTTAATTGCACAATTTAAATGGTAATGTTAATCCATAAATAAATACTGTACATGAAATCGTGTGATTCATTGTAAGTTCAACGACTGCTACCAACAACCGAACGGTCCCTGTTTGGTTTTCTTGCTTTTTGTTTTGCTTTCACAAGTGAGAGGTCCCTGAATGCGCCTGGCTGATCAGCTTACCGAAGCAGGTCCAGAAACAAGCCACCAGTCAGTCGGTCGTCATGTGAGACAGAAAGCAACGGAGCCAGTGGAGAGGATGCCGCTTTCGGAACATTTTGGTCTGAAATGAGAACAAAATCACTCCGATTTTCGAATCTAATTCGATTGTGTGCCTCTGTGATTCCCAACCCGTGGGACGTAACGTGAGGTGCCGCGCCAGATCAAAAGTCTGCTGATCCATCTGTGCCGGCGTGCATGCAAAATGGCGCGGCTGTCTCGTGTACCTAATTAAGTGGCCTTCCTTCAAATCCCGATCAAAAGCAGCCTTTGAGAGTGATTGTGCAAAGCAAAACGTTTCAATTAGGAATGCTCCAAAAAGCCCGCAAAACAGCTTTCAAATGTTACATTCGCGCTAAAATAATCCTCGTAGGGAGTTGGCCCGGCGCGCGAAGAGATTAGCGTGTGGCATTCTTGGAACACTTTCACAAAGCGAGCGGCTGAACTCGTGATCCAATTCGGTCCCGAGCCCGGGTTAGAAGCAGCGCTAAGAACGCAACAAGGAATCAAAGGAGGACACCTTGTCACGGACAGATATAGCCAGGCTGCAAACACGTACCTGTCGAGTACGCGGACGTATGCGTAAGCTGGCGGACGGATGACGTTACAACGCAAGACTGCGCAACTAATCGCAAAACCAGAGACGGTACTGTAATTACGTCTCACCGAAGTCTCCGAGCTTCATGCTACCAGATAATGTGACAGAAATGAGCATCGATGTTGCAGTAATCGTAAAGCTTCAAACAATTACTCAATTACCCAACGCAAAGAATACACACCAAAAGAGAATTAAATGTGGATTCATACACCCAAAATCTTCAACCAAACATGCACCGTCAACACATGAAATGAACGTCAGCGAGCGAAATGCTAACGTATAATGTGAAATGCCATAGTCGGGCTAAGAGAAATTGGCAAACCGAGGATGACACGCTAAGTAGAAAGATTCCAAGAAATGCCACGACAGAGTGCACTGCTGATTCGAAAGGCCCTGGGCAGATTCGATGGACTTGGCAATACAGAGGCCCAAATGTTATCGGACAAAAAAAACAAAATGAAGAGAATCGACTGTTGTGAATACTCTGAAGACAATTTCATGGCACAAATACGACAATTGCAATTTGAAATGTAAGTCGACGCTTCCGATACTGTTTAGGCCGCGACTGCAACAGCTATGAAACCTTCAGCAACCTGCTTGTTTCCCAGATCGTCATGTTTGATCCTAAGAGGGCAAAAGGCGAGGACGACGCACCAGGGAACAAAAAGGTGTCAAAGGTCAAATGACGTCAGCGTCTGCGGGTTGGATCGGTTGACCAGAGAGAAGATTACGCAACGCTGCTGCTCCCGGAGTCACCGTGGGGACTTTTCTTGAAAGCCTTTGCAAAATGGCTGAGGGGAAAAAGGGATTCGACGTTGGTCATGCGTCAGCGGGTCGCGGCGGGAGCGCGGCCCCTGGAATATTGGTTCAAACCTTCCCCCGCAGATCCTTTTAATGTCACATCGGCTGATGGAACGGGTGCTGGGCCTCTTGTCATTCAATTCTGTTCTGCCTGGTCCCTTGGACCCTCCCAAAGCTCCCGTTGCCTTGCATGAACTCATCCGTTGAACAGATTCCACCACTCTGTACGTATACTGTAGTATGTTTTGTACAATACGCTCCATCAAATATGCTGCTGTGCATTCATGTTAATTATTGCTTGGGAAAGAAAGTTCTTCTCAAATTAAAAATCCATCAATAGAAACATTTGGAACATCGCCTTGGCTTGCTTGCAAAAATCATGGAACGTTTGGAGTACAGTGCCGTGTATTTCCACGTCAGGTCTTTGCTGCCCTCTACTGGCTTTAAACAGTTTTTTTTTTCAAACTCAACACAGTCATAATGAACGACGACGATGGGCATCTGCCATTTTGTGCCACAAGGTGGTACCAGTGTCACGTTCGGCAAACGTAACTTGCCTGGAAAGGTCGGGCCCGCATTCTCTTTTGGGTGGGGGACGAGATCTTCGTAGCATTTCAGTTGGAGTCAAACGGATCCTCAACCCGCTCCTTCTTGAAAATGTCACATTTTACATTCAGCTCGCCATACTTTACAGCGATATAAAAAGGCCGATTGCTCGCTCGGATTTTCACGGCGGCACACGATCTTCCGATTTCGGTTTTTGCCCTCACATTATTAAGTACAGTACAGGATGATTCGCAATGGAAAAAAATATATATCACATTTTTACTTTCGCACAATTCAAAGTCGACTTTTTGGTTTGACTTATGGAGTGGAATCTAAACTTTTTGGAGACACGAGTAGGCCTACCCGTACTGAAGACGGATGGGTTCATCAGAGGGTGATGAATCACTGGAGAGAAAAAAAAAATGTTGGGTGAACTCAAAATTCAAAGGCAACAAACACACTTGGAGAACATTTCAAGTAGGGCGAAGTTTTGCCGTTGGGGAAATTGGGTTACATTGTTGTCATCAACGTCAAGAATTACTATCCCCCCCCATCCCAAAATACTTAACTTGTGATCTTTACAGCGTACTCAATATTTTCCCTTTCCCGGGGCGATATGGGACGATGTCCCCGCATCGCGTCTCTCATTGGCTGAAGTGAGCGCTGCCAGGATCGGAAATTAGCATAAAGGGGGCAAAGTGGTGACCGGGTCCACTGGGCGCGGGTTTCCGAGGCTGATGTCACATTGGTGTGAGGAAGAGGAGGAGCGGGGGAAGGGTGAGGAGGGGGACAAAAAAAAGGCACCAAAAATAGCGGGTTAACGCGCACCAATGGCCACGGAGGCAGCAGCGACGCCGTCAGAGCCGAGCGCTCAAGTGCCACAGGTGAGGATGGAAGACTCGACGCGTCCTCGGCGGCGCCAGCAAGCTGCAGCCAAGTCGGCCGCGTGAACGGGGGAAACCGGCACCGAGAAGCATGGAGGGAGCCGAGGGGTGTGCGTAAATTTCCTCCCCTTTGACGCACAGGCGAGGGGGGCTCGGCGTACGTAGCGCGCCGATGAGAGACTCGCGCACAGTTTGAGACCAAGAGTCGAAGAAAGCGGCACGTCGCGATGAACGCCGAGGGCGGATCGTCCGGGCTGGCCAGGTCGGCCGCGGTCAAGCTGTCCGAGATGGGCGCGCGCACCAAGCAGCTGGGCACGGCCATGCGGGACCCGCAGCAGCAGCGGCGCGTCATCCTGGTGATCGTGTGCGTGGCGCTGCTGCTGGACAACATGCTTTACATGGTGATCGTGCCCATCATCCCGGACTACCTGGCCGACCTGGAGAACGAGCAGGCGGAGCGCGCCGGCGGCGCGCCGCAGCCCAACGGCAGCGCGTACGGCTACGGCAGCGGCAGCGGCAACGGCACGGGCGGCGGCGCTCGGGGCAGGTCCGGGAACCTGGACGTGCAAATCGGGGTCCTGTTCGCGTCCAAAGCCATCCTGCAGCTGCTGGTCAACCCCCTGAGCGGCACCTTCATCGACCGGGTGGGCTACGACATCCCGCTGCTCATCGGGCTGACGGTCATGTTCCTCTCCACGTGCATCTTCGCCTTCGGCGAGAACTACGCCACGCTGTTCGCCGCCAGGAGCTTGCAGGGCCTGGGCTCGGCGTTCGCGGACACGTCGGGCCTGGCCATGATCGCCGACAAGTACACGGAGGAGGCCGAGCGCAGCCGGGCGCTGGGCATCGCGCTGGCCTTCATCTCCTTCGGCAGCCTGGTGGCGCCTCCCTTCGGCGGGGTCCTGTACGAGTTCGCCGGCAAGCGGGTGCCCTTCCTGGTGCTCGCCTTCGTGTGCCTGGCGGACGGCTTCCTCTTCCTCACCGTCCTGCGGCCCTTCTCCAACAGGACTCGAGAGAACATGCCGGCGGGCACGCCCATCTACCGGCTCATGGTCGACCCGTACATCGCGGTGGTGGCCGGCGCGCTGACGGTGTGCAACATCCCGCTGGCCTTCCTGGAGCCCACCATCGCCAACTGGATGGAGAGCACCATGCACTCGACGCAGTGGCAGATGGGCCTGACGTGGCTGCCCGCCTTCTTCCCGCACGTCCTGGGCGTCTACGTCACCGTGCGGCTGGCGGCGCGTCACCCCAACCTGCAGTGGTTCTACGGCGCGCTGGGCATGGTCATCATCGGCGCCAGCTCGTGCACGGTGCCGGCCTGCAAGAGCTTCGGCGAGCTCGTGGCCCCGCTGTGCGGCATCTGCTTCGGCATCGCGCTGGTGGACACGGCGCTGCTGCCCACGCTCGCCTTCCTGGTGGACGTGCGCCACGTCTCCGTCTACGGCAGCGTGTACGCCATCGCGGACATCTCCTACTCGGTGGCGTACGCCATGGGCCCCGTGGTGGCGGGCCAGATCGTGCACAACCTGGGCTTTGTCCAGCTCAACCTGGGCATGGGCCTGGTCAACGTGCTGTACGCGCCCGCGCTGCTCCTGCTGCGCAACGTCTGCCAGATGAGGCCGTCCTACTCGGAGAGGGACACCCTGCTGGAGGAGGCTCCGCAGGGGCTGTACGACGCCATCCGCCTGGAGGAGAGGCGGGCCGGCAAGAGCAAGAACCAGAAGCGCAAGAAGAAAAGGGGCGGCGGCGACGAGGGGGGCCGCGGCCCGGCGGCCAACTGCCTGCCGGTGGACGAGAACGGCTTCGACGCCTCCAAAGCGCAGCGCTCGCAGTCCGACGAGTCGTCGGGCGCCGAGTTCACTTGAGGCGGGATGAGCTTAGCCGCACCCCCCCCCCCGGCTTCCCCGTGTCTCAGTCAAAGTCATGTGCAATATATGTAATTTCATTCGGTTTGATTCTGTGGGGGGGGGACTATTGCTAATTGTGGGACCAAATATAAACAGCACACGTCCACGAGCACAAAAAAAAAAAGCCGATCTATTTTTATGTGTTTTTGTTTTTACTCGAAAGGGTCCGATTTTCGTACATTGTTGGTGAGATTTCATTTTTCATTTCATTTCTTCCTTGTCGTTGGGAAATTCAATGTATCAGCACAACTGGATTTGCACAAATGTGGATAAAACGAGATGCACAAGGTACAAAAAAAAAAAAAATACACGAGCACAAAAAAACAAAAGCTCAAGTGGCTGTGAGTATGTGTGTGTGTGTGTGTGTGTCAGTCTGGAGCATTTTGTCAAGACGAGTCAGATCTCCTGAAGACAAGTACATCTGTGTGTTCATTTATTGACTGTGGGTTTAATAAATCTGTTTGGATGTGTGAGACCAGCTGTGGCGTCTTTTCTTATCGATTCATAGTTGGGTAATTTTTGGATCCAATCGGTTTAGTAGCCTTATCTCAACGAAAGATGCACATGGGAAAACTTTGCGTATACATTGCTTGGTCGCTAACCCATTTTTAATGAGAGGTGGAGGCGTGCAGAAGATAACATTTGTGCAATGTAACTTCCGATGTCATTTTGTTTCCTTTTTTTTTTTAATGAACACATATCGCATGGCACAAGCAAAAGGGTGCGGCGATCGTACCTCGTATTAAATGAGAATTTAACCGTCGGATGCTGAGGAGGGGGATGAGTTTGGGATGGTGGGGGCTAAGATAATCTGCCTCACAAATAGATTTCGATGGGAGGAGTTTCATGCCTCCGGTACGGAGGGTGGAGAGAGGGTATAGGTGGAGTCCTGCGGCACACCTTCCTTCGGCGTCTTTTTCCACGTGGAGCCTCACAGGGCCGGCGTGCACAAGGACGCGGAGAAGCCCGGGTCCACCCGCCCCACTTTTGCCCCTCTCCTCCTCATCTCCCTCCACTTCCAAGCCGGGGACTTGTCTTGATATGGGATACGGTGGCATGGATGCGAGGGTCTCGCTGATCTCACTCCCCTGAACAGGTATGGTCACTTTTAATTATGTTCGGAGAAATGATTGCATCCCCCCCCCCCATTTCAGTTTTATAAAGTACCATTTTTAAGTTGTCCCCCCCCGACCCCCCTCAACGACATTTCTTTGGATGACTATCGAATTTGCATGATGGGCCCGATTAAACACTCTTGTGGGCCATCTATGACCCCCGATCCGAAGGTTTTCTGGCAACGCTCTAAAGGAAAGAAAGTGGATGGCGCATGCAAACGATTTCCTTTTCAAGTGCATTTATTTGTCGTGAGAAACTAGAAGGAAGCTGCCATTTTGCCATTATGTCATCAACATGCATCTCATTGTTGCCAAAAAAAAAAAAAAAAAAAATCCAAGAAAAGTCAAATCAGAGCGAGAGGGAGAGATGATGACTGCATGCAAAATGCCCGAATGAAGATGAACCAAAGGTGCATGTTGTCACCATCTTTCGACATGTTACTCTCTTTTTGCCTTTGCACGCCGCGCGCAGCCGACGGCCTCAACGTTTGCCCCGACCGCTCCTGACGGTCGAAGATGTCTCGTTTGGAGAGCGACGCGGCCACAGCGGGCCCGCAGGTATGCTTCAATTGGACAATTGGATTCCTTTTTCCATTTTAAGTTTCACGTGTCGCATGCCGCAGAAACGTCAGCGCTCGGGAGAGCACCTGCAACCTATCCCACGAATAATAAGTACACCTGCACAGTCTCATGCAGTCATTCCCGACAAGCATGTGTAGAGAGCTCATTGGGAACGGCTCACTTTCACTTTAATTGGCCCCAAAATGATTTGTTTGCAATGTACAGTCACTTCGTTCTGCTGTCGAAGCCTGCAACGGATAACGACAAGCAGGGCAATTGAAAATGTGCTTTTATTTTTCCCCATATAAAATAAGTTCAATTTAATTCTCTCTCTTTCTCTCTCTCGAAAACATCTTTCTCGCGCAAAATAAACTATTGCTAAGAAACAAAATCATACCTTGAAAACATTCCAACTAAGCCTTATTATCTTTGGAAAGGCAGACTTCTTGTTTTGGAGGGTGCAGGTGTACCTAATGATTTGACCAGTGGTCGTCTCGCGCACTCTCATGCTGGTTTCTCATGCTGGTTGCTTGGTTAATAAGTGGGGGCGGGGGGGGAGAAAGCACCAATTTAACTTGAGGATTTCAACGCAAGGGTCAGCCTTAACAGCTGGTCGCCCACGGCAACCGCATGCAAATGATCAAACATCAGACAGAAAAGATCATTCATTTGCATTTAGCTGTTTTTTTTTTTTTTTAAAAGACCATATTCGTATTCCCTATAGGGTGTCGGAATTTATCGCCTAATCGGCCTTGAGGCATTAAGAATGAATTATTAACTGTCTAATAATGAAGGCGTAAACCGCGCCTCTCTTCCTCATCCGTCTCAGTAATGAAGACTCGCTACAAGAAGGGTCTGAGAGGGTGATGACATTGCGCAGCTGTTCGACTGTCATCAAAGCGGCGGCGCTTTCCCGTACTATTTTGATCAGGGCTTGCCCAAGGTTCCCGTGCCCCCCCTGAAGCAAACGCTGGACACCTACCTCAAGTGCGTCCGGCATCTGGTAAAGGACGAGCAGTTCCGCAAGACCGAGGCCATCGTGGAGAAGTTCGGAGCGCCCGGCGGCCTTGGCCAAGTTCTGCAGAAGAAGCTCCTGGAGAGGAGGGACAAGACGGAAAATTGGGTATGCAATGAGGGATGGGACAAAATGGAGAAATCACAATGGAGAGCTTTGATGGGTTTTGCCCGTTTTTCTTTTTTTTTTGGTTTAACGATACAGTCACATCATGACGGCCACTTACTCGGGGTGTACTTAAAAAAGATGAAATCTTCAACATCAATCATGTTCGCTCTATTTAGATCTGAGGATTTTTGTCCAATCAGATTTCAGCCTCGATGTGTTCAGAACCCGTCACATTGGCTCTCGACAGATTTCAAATGTGTCCTCCCAAGATGGCTCTCCACTAACGTCGGTATTTTCCCATCCCCTGATTGGATGGTCGCAAGGAGCCAACGTCAAGTGGCCAAACGCATTTTGTAGCATTCGACACACGGATTCCTATCATAATTATGATGAGAATGACGGATTGCATTAAAAATGCTCAGTTTTTTTTTTTTTTTTTGTCTATTGGGGGGAGTGAGACTTTTGGATGAATATTGATTGTGAACTGCTTCAGAAGATGCACGTGGCCTAGTTGTGACCTTGGGAAAACGTGGACCTTATCATACCTTTTGGGGTCCACCGGCCACCGGTGTTATGTTGAAATGAGCGGTTTTTGTACCCTTTGATGCTTGACTTTTCGGTCCTGAAAACACAAGAAACATTTCATCTGAAAAATGAACCACTGACAGAGATGGACTCTCACCGTAACGGTTTTATTTTGTATTTCGGCATCCGCTGAAGAGTTACGTTCACCTTTGCGTTCGTCCGTAGCAGCCGGCCTCCGTTTTGAAGCTCTCCATTTCGTAGATGAGCCAGGGGCTAATTTTGCATCCATGAGTTGAACACGCTCTCCCTAATTGTGGCCCAAAATGAGAGATACATGTAATGAGACTGAAAAAGGACAAGTAAGTACAATTTATTTGCTGTTGCTGCCTCGATATCTCTTAAGAGACTCCGGGTGACAGGTCGCAACTCAGCCAGCTCAAAGATATCCATCATGGCGCCTACTCTGGCCGGGCAGCAGCACCCACGCTCTTTTCACATCCAGCAGAAATGCCCCGTAATGGGCTTTTTACTCCACTGCACTTTAACTTCCACTCTGAACGTAATCCCTCAAGTCCCCCCCATCATCTTTTCCATTTTTTTTTTTAAATCCCGCAGGTGTATGACTACTGGCTGGAGGACATGTACCTGAGCAACAGGTTGGCCCTGCCGGTCAACTCCAGTCCCGCCATGGTGTTTCCTAAGCAGACGTTTAAAGATCAGAAGGATGCTTTGAGGTAGGCGACGCAGCTTTGTTTCCACTTTTTGCCCCCATAAAGCCACTTTCAAAACATCCAAAAAGACAATACTCTTGGCAATCCGTCGCCATCGTTACACACACAAAAAACAAGCAAGTTAGAGCTCGAAACCTGCGACCTGGCACAGTATACAAAACGGTGTTCTTTGTCATCGGCTTAGGGGGCAAATTCGGCGAGAGCACTCGGGCGCCGTTTGAGGGATAAGGTCCATTTGACACTTCGGAGTAGAGGAGGACATTGTGCACACGGGCGACAACAAACTGTGGAGAACGAGGTCCCAAATCATGTGCGGCAGCAAGAGCCGAGTGTGGATTTCAAAGCCCGAGCAATGGAAAACCCCATTCGGTCGACAAAAGGCTCGCCCATGGACAGAGCGACATTCACTTTCGACAGCTTTGATGCACTAAGTGAATATTTCCAGAGCACCGCGAGCGGCCGGTACCATCCACCGCCGCAGACGCTCATTTAATTGGGAGTGACGCAGCTAAGCTCCCCATCGAGCCCGCCGGTCAGGCCTCATTGAGGGGTGTGGTGCTCAGCGGACGCCCCCCTTCACACCGATCTGTCTTCGGAACGCAATCACAGCGAAGACGAATGGCTTGCGGGATGGTGGCTGACAAGGCCGCGTGTTTCCCCCGGTTGCCTGTGTCGCCCACTCGCATCAACGCAGATGAGCACGCGCGCGCTCTCTCTGCGTAGCCCGCTAATTTGCACTAACGTGATTACCGGCGGCCCTTAAAGAGGCGGCAGTGCACCTCGCTGGCATCATGACTGCTGGCCAGAACCCTAAACGCTCTCATTCGGACTCATTTCAGATATGCTGCACGCCTCGTCGGAGGCGTGTTGGAGTACAAGGCCCTCATTGATACGTGAGTCACCCAAAACGCTGCGAGGAAACGATCGAGACGGCCTCAAGACGAGCGCTCGCTACTCTCTCTCTCTCCCTCTCTCAGGCGGGCGCTCCCTGTAGAGTTCGCCCGAGGCCAGCTGGCCGGGACCCCTCTGTGCATGAAGCAGTACTGCCGCCTGTTTACCTCGTACCGCTACCCGGGCCTTAAGACGGACGCGCTGGCGGTCCGCGCGAACGCGGCCTCCGCGGCATCGGAGCACATCATCGTGGCGTGCAAGAACCAGGTCAGGGCGCCAACATTCACGGCTCCAGTTCGCGCGAGACAAACGGCGCGACCCTGGGATGCATCGACGCGCACGCACACGTAAAACCCCGACGTCGGAACGCCCGAACACAACGGAGAGACGGGAGGAGGCTCTTGTACACAACAGATCAACCGACCCCCCCGGGGAGGTTGAATGATTGAGAATAATCTTTCAAAAGGAACACAATGTTGGTGCGTCATGGCTGGCTACAGAGCTAATTAATTGATTACACCCTCAACGTTGTTCCTCGTGTTAAATGGGCGCCATTAAGCGAATTTCGATTCCCGCTTGTGAGTGGGGGAAGTGAGCCTTTCTCGACAAATTGTAGCGAGTCAGCCGGTTTTCCCTCGTAAAGTTGGGGGGCCCTGACGCTTTGAGATGAGAGCAAATTTCTCCTCAGAATCAGTTTTGGGCTTTTGGAGCGACAAATGGAGTGAGATGGCTAACAACGGCTTGATTTCTGTCGTCCATGTTTCCGGTGGCAGTTTTTCGCACTGGATGTCGTCACTGACAGCAAGCCGCTGAGCGAGGCGGAGATCTTATCCCAACTGGAGAAAACCGCGTCAATGGCGGGGAACGCCCAAGAGAGGTTTCCGCCTTTCGGTCTCTTGACATCGGATGGCCGAACGGAATGGGCACGAGCCCGGGACATTCTGGCAAAAGGTGCACATCGCCCCCCCCGCTCGTGAAGCGCCATTGAGACACGCGATAACCGACACGTTTCTCTTCCAGATCAAACCAACATGGACTCTCTGGCCCTGATAGAAAGCTGCCTGTGCGTGTTATGTCTGGATGAGGCCAGTGGGACCAAGGCCACGGACACCGAGCGGGCCCTGCTGATGCTGCACGGCGGCGGGTGGGAAAAGAACGGCGCCAACCGCTGGTATGACAAGTCAATGCAGGTCAGGCCAACGACACCCGCGCCGTCCGCCGACGTCATTTACAAGCTGGGCTCAAGGCTGTCCCCCGCATCGTAGTTTGTCGTAGGAATGGACGGAATATGCGGAGTGGTGTGCGAGCATTCCGCCTTTGAGGGGGTCGTTCTGGTGCAATGTTCAGAGCACCTGATTAAACACATGTAAGCGGCCGCAGTGAAATATCGCTACTGCGCCAAATCTGGAGAAGAAATCGAGGTTTCGCTCTCGTCAACAGAGCCGGGACCGCCACAGAGGCTGTGAAGCCAGCCAGTGGCCGAAAGCTTCCGGCCCCAAGAAGACTCCTATGGAAATGTAACGCCCAAATCCAGGGACTCTTTGTGGGATCCAGAGAGCGAATGCAGAGGTAACGTCTCGGTGAAGCTTCTGCATCCACAGGTTTGGCACAGCGCGTCTTGTGGTTTTCCTCCAGGCTGGTGAAGAACCTGGACATGGACGTTTTCACCTTCAAAGGTTACGGAAAAGAATTTATCAAGAAGCAAAAAATGAGTCCGGACGCATTTGTACAAGTGGCCCTCCAGCTTGCATTTTTCAAGTAAGGAATTCCCAGCGGGATTATCCGCCGCCGTGACGCCGACATTGCGATGGCTGCGCGCATCTTGTGCTCAGGTGCAGCGGAAAGCTGGTTTCCACCTACGAGAGCGCCTCCATCAGGCGTTTCCGGGACGGCCGGGTGGATAACATTCGCTCGGCAACTGTTGAAGCTTTGGCTTTTGTCAAGTCCATGACGGACGAGAGGAGCCCTCACACGGTGAGCCCCTTTTTTTTCCTCCCAGATGTTTGCTCATCAAGCCCTCTCTTCACAGCCAACCAAAGCGATGAGAAGATACCCGTGACTGGTCTTTGTTTTCCCGATTTCCTCGCAGGAAACTGAAAAAATGAAACGACTGAGGGATGCACTAAGTGCCCAGACCAATTACACAATTGCAGTAAGTGAGACAACGCTTCGGCTAACCATGACCAGTTGCAAAACTGTCACGAAATCACAGGCTGCGTTCGGAATCTCGGCACGGAGTTCCGAACGCTGCCTTCATGGAGTGACGCCAGGAAAAAGAGAAATCTCGGGTTCCAGATTGCTACCGAAGACTATGCCTTGATTTGAAACGTCACAATCTGTTGTTAAGGCGATTACAGGAATGGCAATCGACAATCATCTCCTGGGACTGCTGAAGAGCGCCAAGGAACTCAACATGGAGCGTCCAGAGATCTTTTGCGACGAAACGTACCTGGCTAGTAACCGATTCATCCTGTCCACCAGTCAGGTAGAGTTATCTCTTTGCGTCCAAGAAATGAGGTGGAATATCAAGGGTCGAGCGTACGTCAACGCAAGCGCTTCACTTACCCGTCTGGTCTCCTGTGGTCGGTCTTCAGGTCCCAACCGCGGTGGAAATGTTCTGTTGTTACGGTCCGGTGGTGCACAACGGCTACGGCGCCTGCTACAACCCACAGCCGGACCACATCGTCTTCTGCGTGTCCAGTTTCTGGGAGAGCACGCAAACCAGCTCGGCTGTTTTTGTCAAAGCCCTGAACGAGGGCCTGCTGGAAATCAGGGACCTGTGCGATGCTTCCGCAACCGCCGCTGCCACCAAGATGGCGGCCGGCGGCCAGGGAGGGTAGCAAGCCTCGCGGATGGGGGACGTGGTTATGTCACTCCTGTGATGTCTAAAAAAACAAACAAAAAAAAAAAACAAACACATTTTAGCCATGTCAGGATGGATCTTTGTTTTCTGTGCAATCGAGCTCATTTCACCCCAAAATGCAAAGCACGAACATCACCACAGAATGACAGTATGTTTTTTTTTGACTGCTCGACTTGGCAGATGAAGCAGTCGGCAGCCTTTAGGAAACGCAAGCCATGCTCTCCTCGATCAGTGACTGACTTGACTTACTCTGGTGGATTGTCCAGCCACAGTCTTAGCATAGTCGTGTTGTATGTACAGTAGCGGTGGCCATTGCTGCTGTTTCAGGCGCCGCGCGCGCGCCCCGCCACTCACACTTTGTGACGTGAATAGCCGAAAGCCATCGGTTTCGCGAGCGCCATTCCCTTGGTTTACTTTGTTCCGTTTTAAACGTGACGGACTTCGCTTGCCGGCGTCAACGCGATGCTGCCGATACTAAGGTTGCCAAAGACGCCGTGTGCAGATGAAGCCGCACACGCTTTCCCCCCAAATGTAGCCGATAGAATATCAATGAGTGTCAGCGTGGACTCTTGAGCGGCGTGTCCTCCACTCGAGCAATAATACTTGAAAGCAAGACCTATGGGGTGCGCCGAAGGAGGCAAACCACTGTGTCCGTGTGTACAGGGAATCACTTTTTATTTTTTTGGGTCGAGCTAACTATTATAACGTTGGCTCCATGTGCAATAACCAATGTGCAATGAGAGGACAGTACATGCGCGAGCGATTTTGAGTGAGAGGAAGCGATCACGCGCACTCTTTTCATCGGAGTTGTTTGAGTAATATGGGCACAGGTCGTTCTGATCGTTTTAAATGATCTGAGTCAATGGTAAAATTGTTCGATGTAGTCGTGTTGTCATCCCGTCGACGTCATACACTCATATACATAAAATGGACTTCGATTTTGTGCATACAATAGTATATAAATAACAATCATCTACAATCAATGGAAATCTGAGAAAACTAAAAGGCATGCTGATTCCAATAGAGGAGCTAAAGTTTGTCATGTGCAACAAAATATATTCTTGTAAGAGTATGCAGGAAAAAAAAAAATGGCGCCTTAAGTGATGCAAAATGTACTTTACAATATCTTCCAGCTGCACCGCGTAAACATATAGGGAGTTTTACATGTGCTGCTTTATTCGAAGCGACGAAAACTAAAGAATGTACTGTTTGTGTTGCTGTGTAGTGCATCGAGAAAATAACAATCGAAAAGTTTGATGTTGCAACGTATAGGAACAGAGCACTAGATCGAGTCAGTGACCAATGTGCAGTGACAGGTCAGGAGTCATTCCTTCAATGTTATCTCAGAAAATGTGACAGAACACGTGAATATTTTAGCCAGACAATAAATATACAATTATCTGTGAGCAAGGTGCATTGTGTCTTGTCGCCAACTTTTGCAGCCTTGTCGCCCGCGTGCACTCTTCTACAACTGGAATTCCCCCATTGTGGACAAATAAAGAATAATGATATGGTCAACTACACGGGACGACTCCATTCTACCTTCCAATGAGCAGAGCCGACACCAAACGCTGCAAGGTTAGGGTTTCACAACACTGCTAAAAGAAGGCAAAACAAAAATTCGACCGCAAAGATAAATCCCCGGGATGATCACGATGCAAATCCAACGGGAAGAGTATGCACCGCGTTGTCCGCTCGCAGCCCGGACGCTCGGGAGAAACTCAATTTTAATTGCCGAACGGCTCGACTCCCAAAAAGTCCGCAACCTTCAGGTTCCGTCATCCCAACGGATTAATTCAACGACTCGGCGTGTTAATTGTTGTCATCATCACAGCGCACGCCGCGGTTTCATCACTCAAGCCAGAAAACAAACACCAAAAGCGGGTTGGTTGAAAGTGGATTTGCATCAAAGTACCCAATTCATCAGTGCGCCGCTGCCACCCACCGATCTGATTTGCATGCTCAGATGAGAGAGCGAGCACAACGCACAGTCCAACGCTTCGAAGACGCCGTTGCATTTCGCAGAGGACAAATGACTCCATCGTACACTTGGCGAGCATTCAAGCGCCTATTTCCCAGCGCTTGCTTGGGAAGGGGCCGTGACAGCGCCCTCGGCTTCCGTGGGGGGGGTGCAAAAGAAAGACTTCATGTCTGTTCATGCAGAAAACCTCCCACAGAAAAGAAGGCATCAAAAAAAGATCCTCGGCTTGAATGACTTCCGCGGTCGACGTTTGCTTCGGGTGGACTTCCTCTTTTAGTCGCCAACAAATTGTTGATTGAGCCTTGGGCGTCTCGTCCGGTCCGAGCGTCATTATGTTGAAGGGACCTGAGGGGTAAACATTGGCCGGCCGTGCACCTTTTGAGTTTATTGACAAGAGCGTCGGCCCAGCTCCTCAAAAGCCAACGCTGCCAACGGTGACAACGGGGCAGTGGCGCTTGACGTCCGGATCAATGGCGGATGCCCACCTGGAGACCCTGGACGCCAAGCGGTGCAGCTGGAGCCTTGAACGCTGACCACTATTGACTGAAAAGGCCCCCTCGAGACCTGTTTGCGTCCAGGAAAAAAGGACTGCGCTTCAACCTCCTAAAGAGGTTGCAGAAAAGGAATACGCGGCCAAAATGAATGGCGGCCTTGCATGAGACGCAAACCCCAACATGGTCACTGAAATACCTTGAAATGGACAGAACTGGAATTTGCCAAATATGCATCTCAACAAGCCGCAAAGGATGGGGGG